CTGTGTGTACTTGACTTGTGAAGAGATAAGAGACACAGACAATACATTATAATATAAAACCATCACTTGATATAAAAATAAGGAGCTGTGGTATGATTTTCAATGAGAAAACTATCCACCAGAGTTCAAATAAGTGGATATTAGCTATCATAGGTCACCGTACGGCCTTCAACAATGAGAAAAACTCATACCATATAGTCGGCTATAAAAATCCCGACATGAAAAATATGAAACAATTAAAACGAGAAAACTAACGGCCAAATTTATAAAAATACAATTTACGAAAACAAATATGACAGACATTGACCAACGACAACCACTGAACTACATGCTTCTGACTTGGCACAGGTACATAAAGAATGTGGCGGGGTTAAATATGTTTGGGAGCGCTCAGCCCTCCCTTAACTTGGGACAGTGGTGTAACAGCACAACACAAGAACAAACTGTGTAAAAATCAGTTGCAATTGGCTTAACTCAAAAGTTCGCTTCCGTTATTTGAATTTTATATTTTTATATGAAAAACCGTGAAAAGCATTTTAATTCTACAAGTGGGGTAACTGGTAAGCTATCATGATTATCAAATGACTGAAATAATAAATCTTTATTGAACTACAAAGTCGACTTCGTCATTCAAGGAACAAGTGTTTCACATTTCTGTAGAGTGTTCAGAAATAAACTTGATTTGTCTGTATAACTCAATACATGTAAATTATTTACATGCAATGAAGAGCACAGAAGTAGTGTGAAATGAGTTCAGAGGGAATTGGTTCTACCTCGTTTAAACTATTATTTTCTTATATCAATACTCATATCACCAACACGAAACTCTCTTTTTCGAAATACTAAGGATTTTCTACCCCAGGAGTAGATTACCTTAGCTGTATTTGGCAAAACCTTTCGGAGTTTTGGGTCCTTAATGCTCTTCAACTTGGTACTTTATTTGACCTGTTAAACTTTTTTATTCGAGCGACACTGATGCCTTTTTTTAAGACGAATCGCGCGTCTGGCGTACAAAATTTTAATCCTGGTATCTATGATGAGTTTATTTACCCTTTAGACACGATAGAATTTTCAGATATCCAATTGTTTCATTATGGAAAGCATTACGACAGGTCGTTTTAAAGACGTATATCTATTCTTACCATAAATGAAAAAATGCAACTTGAATTTATAGCACACATATTTAATTTGAAACAAAAAGATTTAAATTATACTTATATATTTGAAAAAACTCTCAACGTACATTTCATGGCTTATTTTCAAACCTAGCTGGAGGCTATTTAACCAGGTCCATTCAAATAGTTGTGTAGTGGTTTGTAAACTGGTGTTTGTCTTATTCTGGTCATTGTACATCTGTTCTTCATAGACTTACAATTTTTATATTCGCTTTTTTTTAACCAGGCTAAATAACTGACGGTTTCCATACCTTCTTTTTGAGTAATCGTTTGTGTTTCCTTTTAGTGTGCAATTTTGTGTGCTGAGAAACTAGATTTAAAAAAAAAATAGCTCCAACGTCTGCGTACGAGGATTACTCCTCTAAACTGGCAAAGGTGTCAGTGAGTATACAAAATTTATTTTCAAGAACAGAAGTTTCATTGAAATACCAAGTTTGGACCGCCTCAAAAAGTAAGACATCGTTTTATTTTACTACCACCTCTCTCTCTTTAGGTGGAACTGAAAAAATAGCTTGATATATCTACGACGCAACTTTGAACCCTAGAACGATTCTGAATGTCGTTGCTCTGCTTATAATAAAGTTCCTTATTTTGTGCTTATTTATTTTAATTTCTCTATTTTCTTTAAAACATTTTAGGTATTATCACAGACTTATTTTAACTTAATGGTATTGTAAACAAAATATATGCTATTCGACTTAGTATCTGATTTTGGCCTTTCAACTGTTTTGATACTAGCGCTACTGATGAGTCCTAGTGTAGAAGAAACTCGCGTCTGATGTATAAATTATATAAGCCTGGTATCATTTATGAGTTGTACGTAATTTTACTAAATGATTTTTTTTCTCTCACAATATTATGTCTGTACTGGCATCTGTCGAATGTTACTCTGATGAGGTATGCAGCGTGACACAGCATAAAAACCTATATAATGAAATCGACTTTTGCTCGCAAGTGTTTTATGTACTCTAGTACTCATAAAATGTTCAAAATCATAATGCCATTATTCTATCAAACGTAAGAAAATTGGTACTCACAGGTTTTGTTCAACTATAATACACCAAAACAAGAATGTGTCCATAGTACACAGAAAGATCAAATCATAGGGAACATGTGTACTAAGTTTCAAGTTGATTGAACTTCAACTTCATCAAAAACTACCTTGACCAAAAACTTTAACATGAAGCGGGACGGACGAAAGGACGGAAGGACGCACAGACCGAAAAACATAATACCCCTAGGTGGGGCATAAAAAACTTGTATATATATATCATAGCAGAGATATACATAAGTATCCTATTATTTTAAGTATTGTATCAATGTATTACATGTATTGAATAAGTATTTATTTGAAGTTCCCACAAGAATGCATCGCTTACATGCTATTTATACAAGACATTGAATACCGTTCCTGTTCTGTATTGAAACACATTTATAGCCAGCCTAATATGGTTCCTATGTATGGATCACAGAAAACTGTACAAAAACAAGAGGTACTGTGAGCAAAGCTCACAAAATGATGACCCGCTCAAAGTCCATGCTTTGGTAACGGAAAACCAAAAACATTGAGATCAAAAACAAAATCGGAGGTGCACTGTCATTATATGGTGCATATTCTTAGAAAATTTCATCAAATTCCATCTTAGAGACAGTTTCAATTAATTGTAAAAGGGGGATTAGGAATTGCGGATACAAGTTGGGTATCCCAAAAAAAGCAAAAGCAAAGTCCATGCTTTGGTAAAGGAAACCCAAAAAATTATTCTGATCACAAACAAAATAAGAAGTTCAAAATAGCACTATATGGTTCGGATTGTGAGAAAGTTTCAATAAATTATCAGAGGTTAAGAAGGATTTAAGGATACAAAATCATGTACCATGTAACAAAATGGATACCCCAAAATGTGTAACATAGTGTGCAGATATGATGAAGTCCCAAACTTAATCCTAAAAATCATTTTGATGAAGAAATGAAATAGAAGGTACCAATGTAAATCTTGTAATTTAGGTTCTGTGGAAAAATCACCCAATTCTGTAAAGCAGTTCAGAAGCAGTTGTGGATACAAAAGTTGGGACATTGGTGAAATTCCCAATATTATTATAATTATCAGGGTTGAATATTTGTATGTGCACGAAAGAAATTAGTGGCAAATACATGAACATAGTTGTGGGAGGATGTGAGTTAATTAAACCCAGTCTGACAAAAAAATGTTTGTATTTGCTGCTTTTTTGCTAAGCAAACCGAATTTAGGAGCAAGAGCAAAGACTGCTGTTCTCTTAGACTGAATAATGTGTCTGGGTAGGGTGACATTTTTTTCTGCAAACTATTACCTTGTGTACTTTAATAGCAGGATAACAATCATGGTTAGCCAGTCGGTCTTGTACATAGCAGGGTTCATATATCATTAACATGTTGTTTTTCTGATATGCATGCAATATTTAGGTCAATGGCTTTATTCACACATCCATCCATTCATGACTACTAAAAAATTACTAACTTCAATTAAGGAACGACTGTATGTAGGTTATTCAGTGTGCACCACATTTTTTATGTTATTTGGAATAGACAGGAAAAATATTACAATCTTTTCTTATAATTTAATTTTAAATTCCATTTTTAAGGAGTAAATCATGATATAAACTGTTAACACAGAGATATGTCTCGCCTATTTGTTATTTTGATAATGCAAATGTTGAAACTAAAATAGCAATACTTTAACATATAAGTTATGCAAATATTCAAAGTCAATGAACCATGACTGAAGGTACAGGGCTAAACAATCTCTATGGAAATGAGATGTGCTAATGCTAATACAACTGCAAACCAAATACCATTGACTTTTCATAAGTCTTTCCCTTAGCTTTAAACAAACCTAAACACAAACATAAACTTGTAAACTATGTAAGAGTTTCAAAGTCAATGAACCATAATTAGGGGGTGGTGTTATATAATCTCCATGGAAATGAAACTTGCAAATGCCAATACATTTGCATACTTGAATATCAATGACTTAACATTAGTGGTTCATCTTAAACTGACCTAACCACAAACTTGTACATGTAAACTAAGCAAAATTTTCAAAGTCAATAGACCATGACTGAGGGATAAGGACCAAAAATTCTCCAGGGAAATGAGATGTGCTAATGCTCATATAACTGCATACCAATTATCATTGACCTACCACTAACGGTTCCCTCAAACTGACCTAATCACAAACTAATACATGAAAACTAAGCAAAAGTTTCAAAGTCAATAGACCATGAATGAGGGGACGGGGCCAAATAATCTCCATGGAAATGAGATATGCCAATGCTTATACAACTGCATACCAAATATCATTGACCTACCACTAGTGGTTCCCCATAAACTGACCTAATCACAAACTAATACATGTAAACTAAGCAAAGTTTCAAAGTAAATAGACCTTGACTGAGGGGGCAGGGCCAAATAATCTCCATGGTAATGAGATGTGCCAATGCTAATACAACTGCATACCAAATATCATTGACCTACCAATAGTGGTTCACCATGAACTAGACCTAATCACAAACTAATACATTGTTGACACCGCCTACGCCGGAAACAGCATACCTATGTCTTGCTTTTTGACTCCGTCAAGGCGACACAAAAACGTTGATGACGTCACGTTCAAATGACAAAATTATGTGTATGAGCCGATAGACAAAAAACTTTCAGCGAAACAGAAATCATGTTACATCCAACATTAAATTATCAATCCTGTCTACATGAACACATCTGTGTTTTTGCAAACAAATAGTTCTACCTTTCAAATTGTAATAGAAGTTCCTACCATGTAAAACATTAGCTATTTCATATTTTTATTTTTCTAAAATCATTTTGCATGTGCAATTTATGCACACAGTACATAATAAAACATTCTGTGCAAAGGTGTAAAATACATATATTACATATGATATATATCACCCCTCGTGTTCCCCATTCCCATTGCACAATAAAACTTAGCTTGGACCCTGAACTGAATACAACATTGTTTATCATAGATTCATATGTCCTATATTGTAAAGAGAGAGACATATAATAACAAAGATTGCTATTTCCATTAAATGGCCATACTATCTTTGGAAATATTGGAAGGACTAACTTGAAAATTTGATTCATTCTTGTGGTGAATACACCTGGAATACAGTACTATTACAAATGGGAGAAGGAAAATATAAACCCTAGATTGGCCTTGACTCATATTACCTGGAACACATTCAGACTCAACAAATTGGCACAGTAGAATCATGTAATAAGTAGCCGCCCTTTTATAACTTAACACATTCAAGGAAACAAGGAAGAACATTAAAATGATTTAACAATAATAGGTCCTTGTTTTTGCTTAGTTAAAAGTCATAATTGTTTAAAATCAAAATAAAATTTAAGTGTAAAAGAACAAACTAAAACTGAATATAGTAAAGTTTTAAAATTATTTAAGGAAAAATATGCAGATTATCAAGGTTAAAATATACTTGCAAATTTCCAGACAAATATAATAATACTCTATGAAGAATACAAGTATATCCTCAAATGTAGGATTTCCATTAAAATACATAAAAAGATATCCTTTGAATTATAGATTTAGATTGCTGGATTAAAGTTCAATTTCCAACCTAGCTTCTATATAAAGATAAAAAGCATGTATTTTTTAAGGTCAGGAACCCAAGCTAATATCATAACAAAACAACTTGTGATAAAATTGCTGACTTCTGTAATGAAATGAGAATATGTTATATTTGAATGAAATAATACTTCTTGCTGATATCACCATATGAAGATCTATCTTTTATTGTTATGTGTCCAAAAAACAGAATCATTGCAAGTAATGGAAATTTGTTTTTATTTACTTGTAAATCGCTGATAAATTTGTTTCTCAAAAGAAAAAATAATCTTTTCTAGTGTAAAAACAGAATTAACTTTCATTCTATTTGACATGCCTTATTCTGATGAAAATATTTTTTTTAACAAAAACAAACTAATGTGCAGTAAAATGGTTAAATTGTACATGATTCCTGAATATTCTTAAATTCATTTATTCTTATTTTGTTTCATACATGGTTATTTTCCACTGTAATACAGTTGAATATTATTATGCTATTTACTTTACATAAATGGCTATAATTTAAAATGCATTCACACCATACACAATTAACTCTGCTGAACATGTGTCCTCCCCGTTGTCATTGACAACCTTACATGTGTAGTCACCTTCATCTGACTCACATATGTCACGAATAATGAGAGAATGAAGACCATTGTGACTTTGTATAAATGAATGTCTACTGTCTTCTTTTATTACACTTTGGTCGTGCAGCCATGTCACTTGAGGTGTAGGATGACCTTCAACTGCAATGTCAAATCGTACGATGTCCCCTTTCACTGCCTCACAGTCCACCATATCTTTAATGATTTCTGCTGGTGCAGATGTATCCTCAGAAGACATTGTTTTGATGTGTTTGTTATTGTTTTCACAGTTCACACAAAGGTCATCTTCACAATTTTCATCATCTTCTTTCGACTGGTTAAACACATCTTCATCTGTTTCAGTAGCATCAGAAGTTTCCAGGTTATCTCCCTTGAAATCTGTTTCTTCATGTGATTGAGACCTTGATACTGGCAGGACAGACAAGTCACTCTGTGAAGCAATATCGGAATCACTATTTATAGAAGAGTGGTCAATTGATTTACTATCACCACGCTGTTTTTGCCAGATTGACATGCGTCCTATTGCCCGAATAGCAGTTCCCATTTTCTACACATAAAAATAAAAAGCCATACAAATAGCGTGAAGACTATGACAAACACAGGGTGAATGCAAATATTAAATCAAAGTCATCATAAACATTTGTATTTAATCATTTTAACGCAAAATTAATCATTAATTTCACTTCTTTCAAAAGTAAAAATTATGGTTACTGAGATTTATTTTATCTTTTAAATAGTATCAAATAATTTTGTTAAAAAAAAAACCAACATCCAGTGCATGCAATTCCAATTTCAATTTTCTGAATGACCTTCCACAGTTGACCTCCTAGGGTCAACATGAGAAAAACGTGTAAGGACATGTGATGTAAAAGTATTTGCTTTGTGAGATCATTTTTTTTAAGGAAAAAGCATCAATTGGAAGATGATGTATTACTTTTTATGTTCTATGATGACAATGATTATCTAGCACCTTAAGCACTGGAATGTGAAGATATGGATATGGTATTATTACAAAGTATAACATTGTAGTTAATTATAAAATACCATATTGTATGTACTGTCTTATTATACACAAGTAACTTTGCACAAGGCTCAAAAACAGGTAGACATGTGATGTGTATCAAGCATTCTAGCCTTGTTCTTACCAAGTACAAAATTAAATTATATACCTAAGTCAATGTACCCTTATGTATTCTTTATACTGCAACATTTAAAAGTATTTAATGCAAATTCAAAAGTATGAAAGTTGATTTGTTGCTAAATATGCACATAAAAAATGAATTTAGAATCAGTGCAGTTTTAACCAAAACTTTTGAAAATCAAAAGAATCAGATGTTGAATAGCATAACTGACTATTTAAGAAAACAATTTTCCATAAAGTGGTCAATGTCAGAAATCTGTGACTAAATAAAATTCAAAGACCTTCAAAGTTGAAAAAGAATTCCAATAAGCCTGTAGTCTGTTTACTTAGATTTGCAACAAGAAAAAATTCTCACATTTCGAAAATAAAATCCTTTAACCAGATAGACATTATGTTTGAACTAAACCAACAGATAATTAAATGTAAATTTTCAGGACTAAAAATAATCACAATTCTAATTGTCATACAGTTTAAAACAATTTTGACTATATTAACATTCCAGCTTACACATAATATCCTCCAGATCATGAATATCTACTATAACTGTTTGAAAGTAAGTCAAACCAGATAATTGATTACAGTAGATGATCATCCCTATCTGCCCACAATTTTCCATTAGTTCCAATTCTTTCTAATTTTGATACATTTAATTATCCATAAATCATTTAGATATCAGATAAACTTTTTAACTGCGGTTATGAAAAAACTAGACAAAAACAAAAGAAGATTTATGATTTTGATTAGTAGTATTGATCAAAAATAAAATAATACAGTGATTAAATCTAATAATTAAAATCTTCAGATATTAATATTTATCCTTGCAGATATGGATGGTATCTACTGACTTAGTTTATTTGGCCTGTCTTTGTATATTTTCTCTTGATTAGTAGAATGATAAGCCTTTTTTTCAAGAAAGCACACATGCTTATTTTTTTATCATTTTTTTTTGCATCTGCAAAAGAGTTAAATGCTTAGGCTGAAATTTAATTTTTGGCAATATGAGTGTTTATATGTGAAACCATGCAAGATAAGTGAAACTAAGCCTAGATAACCCCTGATACTCTCTAAGAGCTTTTTTCATTTAAACATACACTGCAACTAGGAATAGCACTCTCTGATATCATATCTATAGATGTGTGCCTAAACTTAAGAAAACAAAAAGATTTGAGAAAGATACAATTTCTTGTATGGATTTCTTGTATGGAAGAGTAATTTTCAAAAAGATCAAATTTCTTGTATGGAAGAGTAACTTTGAGAAAGATCAAATTTCTTGTATGGAAAAGTAACTTTGAGAAATATAAAATTTCTTGTGTGGAAGAGTCACATTTCCCAGAGTCCAATTTAGAGGTACCATGTATGTTTAAATTATAAACAGCTCTAAACATGCAACAATCAGAAAAGAAATAAAATATTAAACATAAAAATATGCATAAATAACAAAATATTTTAAGAGAAATGAGTGAATGAAAAATATCTATTTATTAAAAATTAAAATAAGACTTGCTGTGTGTTGTTGAAAGTTTAGCAGAATTAAACAGAAAATTCCAAACTTAAATAAATAAGAAAAATAAACACCAAGAATGAAAGAAAATAATAAACTAATGATTTGAAAGTAAGTTTAAAAAAATTATTATAAAATGTTAAACCTTCAATTTTGTATACAAACCTGCCACTTGCGTCGAGCCATAAATTGTTTCAAGTTGCGTAGACTCTGTCGTAACTTTTTAGAACTGTTTCTCTCTGAATGTGCCAACCACTTGTGCTCTATACATTGTGATATTGTTATCCTCTTTCTATAATAGTTTAAAACACATTTAAATTAGTCAAGTATTCTACATTTGGGTCATCCTTAAGCAGAGAGTATCTATTTTCCCATATTCCTGTATTTTCATAACTGCTATATCAGTCTGTTTTGATATTTTTTTGTCAAATTCTGAGATTGCTAACAGGAATCATATACATAACTATGTTCAGTTCCTTAGATTTAAATGCAAATTTCTGAATTTTTATGTGATATAAATGTTTGTGTAATAGTACACTGTAGTTTTTTTGGTTTTTTTTTTGTGTTTTTTTTTTTAGGGGGGGAGGGTCTTTTTTTAATAGTGAAACTTGCTGATTATGGTTACTGGTTTTCATTGTACATGAAAAGTTTTTAATCCCAATGTAGTGTATGTTTTAGCCAGTTAGAAAAACATATATATGTTATATAAAATGTAGACTAACTAAAGTTTAATGAAAAAAATCAATAGTAATCATATAGAATTCATCAGGTTTCATATCTGAATTCACTTTTCCAGTAATAAATAACTTCAGTTCAAATCCCCCAGTGATAAATATGTATAAAAGATTCAGCAGAAAGCAAACATCTGGAATTTACACCCCTTTTTTAATAGATGAAAAGCTTGAAGAGGCAACAAAGACCACTTATCAGATAATATATTCTGTTTAAATTATTGACATCCACTTCCAACATTACTTTTTATCTTCTAATACATTTACTATTTACCAGTTTGCTTTAAACTACCTGTCATTTTTCATAAGGAAAATAACTTGTTATCAAATCTCAACACTAGTTTTCAGTTTACCTCATATTTTTAAGCAAGCATTTTTCAATAAAGTGACGAGCTTCCTCTGAAATTTCCTCAAAGGCTTCATCATCAAAATCAAAATCTCCTTGTGTAACATTGGAAAGTGTCTCACCATCTGAATCACCCATGAAGGGAGATAATCCAGACAATCTGAAATACAAAATTGATGTAAAATATCTTACCAAATAATTATGCAAATACATGTTCATTAAAAGAAATCACTTAAAAATTTGTAAATCAACTAAAAAAGTTACTGAACATGTGACCAAATTGATGTAAAAATATATCTTTTTTTTATTAAAAGAGTCAAATTAAGAATATTAGAACGGATTCCAGGTGCAGCATCTAATTTCAGAATAAAGCAACAAGTATGTCAGAACATCTTTCATTTAATAAATTTTAAACTAAATTTGCATCTGTTCGAATATACATGTCTTTTTCTTTCTTTTTGTTCTTCAAAGGCAGCACCTAGTGAAATGAAACGTTTAACATTCAAAGGGAAGAAACTCAATCTTAAAATAATTTCAAAAAGTTTTATAGAAATACATCAAATGATACAGATAGCAATAAAAACAATATGTGCCATTCCCTACTCATATTATCTTATTTCCATGTCCAGTGAACCACTGTAAAATCTTGGTTAAAACCCTGATTTGGCATATATTTCAAAATTCACATCAGAATAAACAATTGTACTGAGTTTGACACCAACTTCATGGCAAACTACCTTATTACCATCCAAGTAGTCAGCACTTTTGTGTTGACATAAATTATCATTGATAAGGTCATAATAATAAATTAACTGTTAAAAAAAACTGATTTATTCAATACTAAGGATTTTATACCCCAGGAAATGATTACCTTAGCAGTATTTGGTAAAACCTTTTGGAATTTGGGTCCTCAATCCTCTTCAGCTTCGTACATACTAGAATTCAGAATGGCCCCCTCCTTATTGTAGGTGGGGCATGAAAATAATATTGTGAGTTAAAAGAAGACAAATTTATTGAATAAATAAGAAATATTACAATGACTTTCTACTATGCTGTTGTAAAGATATTCATCATAAAAAGGAAAGTTCTGCAAAATTTATTGTCATCTTAATCAATTTCAAAATATCACTAAACACAAGACTACATATAAACACAGGCTACTTACAGAACATAACAAATAACTCCAAGACTCCATATATCTGTTTGTAATCCTATCTGTTCATAGTTCACAACTTCTGGTGCTATAAATTCAGGAGTTCCAAACATTACCTTCAGACTTTCACCTGGTGTATAGCGACGTGCTAATCCAAAGTCTATAATCTTTATCAAATTACTATCTTTACGAACACATAAAATATTTTCTGGCTTGAGATCAAGGTGCATTATAGACTTCTCATGCATGTACCTGACACCTTCACAGATCTGACGCATGAAATGAACACAGTCTCTTTCTGTCAACTCTAAATCTTCGTCTGCAACACGATCAAATAATTCTCCTCCACCAACACTGAAAAATAAATTATTATATTAATCTATCATGACTTGTTTCTTCTAAGTAAAATCTTGATTAATAATTGGTGGTTTTTACACAGAAACATGTATCATCCATTTTCCCCTTCTCTAAATTACAAATGACAAACTTTGAAATAAACAATCTGACCATTATCATGATTATAAAACTTTGAAATGCTTATAGCTACGCACGTTTTGAGAAGAACAGATCAATTCAGAAATGGTGTTTCCTTGAAGGAAAATAAGAGTGCTGGCAATTCTGATTAATACAGCCATCAATAGAATGCAGAGACTATGTTACACAATTTTTTGCTAGGACGAAAGTTCAATATCTGAATTGGGTTATTATTTTATCAATCATCATTGCTTTGCAATCTCTTGATTGTAAGAGACCAATTGTACTGTCAGTATGAATCACATTCAAAAATGTTCCATGTTCTGCAAAACAACATCTCCAAAAGTAACCCAATCAAAATAGTAGAATAGGTGGTCTATAACTATGCTGATTGAAGTTGTTCTGTCAAGTTGGCAGCATTCCAACGTGAAATGTAGGTCTTGTAATGACCAACTTCAACAGTATGTAGAAACTGCAAAACATGTTTTGATATTGGAAAACTTAAAAAACGCTTTGATGAAAATAAAATTTGAAGTGGTATGCATTAGTTATGTCAAGTTTCATTCTATTCCTATATTAATTATTGGAAATTTGTGTTGACAAAAATTTGAGACAAACAAATAAAGACTGATAGGCCAAACAAATAAATCTTCCCATATACATGTGGGGGAGATATATATAGTAACTATCAGTCAGAAAAACAGGGTACTTTTTACCTTAATTTTCAAATCATACATTCCCACTTTCATTAATTTTTGGTAATGAAATCCTTGAATGAATAATTCACCAGCTAAACATATATTATGTTCATTGAAAACCGAGATGTCCCTACAGACACAGGCATAGTAAACAACTATGAATTGTCATACATATATGGTGAGTCTTGTATTTTAAAAATACTATTATGCTGGGAGGGACAAAATAAAACTTGTTCTATTATTGCTAATTTTTTTACTGTAGCCATGTGTTACAATCCATAATGGCGTGCTCAATTTATCTACCAAAAACTTGACTAAACAAGAATTGCATGCTCCAGGGAGTATAAAAACTTGAAGTAGCTAGAAACCAATGTTGTGACCTTAAACCTTGACCTATTGAACCCAAATCTAATAATCTTATTCCCCTTTCCTATGTTGTTCATCTGTATAAGTTTCATTCCAATCAGGCAAGGGAAACTCAAAGTTACTACCTGAAAATCATTTGTTTTGGACACAGACAGACAGAAAGACATGCTGATGGACGAACAGGCAGAAAGAAATGACTATATGCTTAAAAAAAAATTCACAGAGCATAAATGTGAGTCTGACAAGGACTAACTGTAGCCTTTTTGGCCAACATAGGCAACTTAATAAATTATGTAGTTAATATGCAATCACATCTTTTCTACTCGTATGATTTTTGCAAACAGAAAAGTTGTAAAATTTGGGGGTAAATGTCCTCGGCTCCTTTTGCAAATAAATTAAAAGATCTGCATATATTTTCCTTCTGTAAACAACAATAAAATGCTTCGCTGGGGCGCAGCTTGATACGACCGCAGAGGTCAAACCCTGAACAGTTGGGGCAAGTATGTACACAACATTCAAGCTTGATACAGCTCTGAATTTGGATTGTTATTAAATATTTGACACAGCATAGGTTTCTGACACAGAAAGAATGTGGTCCAAGAACTTGAATTTTTTTAATTTACCTATTTTGGTCCAATGTCCAAAATCAAAATACATGGTTAGATTCAGCATATCAAAGAACCCCATATATTCAATTTTTGTTGAAATCAAACAAAGTTTAATTTTGGACCCCAACTTGGACAAACTTGAAAACTGGGCCCATAATCAAAAATCTAAACACATGTTTAGATTCAGCATATCAAAGAACCCCAAGAATTCAATTTTTGCTAAAATCAAACTAAGTTTAATTTTGGACCCTTTGGACCTTAATGTAGACCAATTTAAAAAACGGGACTTAAAATTAAAAATCTAAATACACGGTTAGATTTGGCATATCAAAGAACCCCAATAATTCAATTTTTGATGAAATCAAACAAAGTTTAATTTTGGACCCTTTTGACCTCAATATGAACCAATTTGATAGTGGGGCCTACAAATAAAAAATCTAAATACATGGTTAGATTCAGCATATCAAAGAACCTCATATATTCAATTTTTGTTGAAATCAAACAAAGTTTAATTTTGGACCCCAATTTGGACCAACTTGAAAACTGGGTCCATAATCAAAAATCTAAATACATGTTTAGATTCAGCATATCAAAGAACCCAATATATTCAATTTTTGTTGAAATCAAACAAAGTTTAAATACTGGACCCTATCTTGGACCAACTTGAAAACTGGGCCCATAATCAAAAATCTAAACACATGTTTAGATTCAGCATATCAAAGAACCCCAAGAGTTCAATTTTTGTTAAAATCAAACTAAGTTTAATTTTGGACCCTTTGGACCTTAATGTAGACCAATTTAAAAAACAGGACCCAAAATTAAAAATCTAAATACACGGTTAGATTTGGAATATCAAAGAACCCCAATAATTCAATTTTAGATGAAATCAAACAAAGTTTAATTTTGGACCCTTTTGACCTCAATATGAACCAATTTGATAACGGGGTCCACAAATAAAAAATCTAAATACATGGTTAGATTCAGCATATCAAAGAACCCCATATATTCAATTTTTGTTGAAATCAAACAAAGTTTAATTTTGGACCCCAATTTGGACCAACTTGAAAACTGGGCCAAAAAATCAAAAATCTAAATACATGTTTAGATTCAGCATATCAAAGAACCTCATATATTCAATTTTTGCTAAAATCAAACAAAGTTTAATTTTGGACCCTTTGGACCTTAATGTAGACTATTTTGAAAACTGGACCCAAAATTAAAAATCTAAATACACTGTTAGATTCGGCATAACAAATAAATAAATGTGATCGAAGATTTTACAAATCTAATGCGCCATACTGTGCAATTAAAGATTACTTCTTGAAATTTTTCAATATTTGAAATTTGAAAAAAAAATAATATTTGAAGAATAATTCTTTTTAATTTCTGAAATCTGAAATGAGAAAAAATTGACCCCCCACAATTTCTTTTTATCCCCCCCCCCCCTTTTTTCCCCCAAAAAATTCTTTCCCTCAAGATATGGTCATAATCTCAATTCAAATTTCCAATGGAGTTGGCAACCATAATTACCCATTTAAATTTACCATAGTGCTAACTTAATCTATTTTATAATAGAATTAAAAATATAGTGTCAAATCTTTCATATGGATTTTTTTGTAAAAAAAAATGATGCAACATTTGCAGATATTTTTACTGGTCTTCCTTTATAAATATGCATTTCTTTAAACATAATTTAAAAGCAGTGTAAGGGAAGTAACCAAAACGTTGTATTTGGATTACCTCCCTTACACTGTTTTAAATTATCTTTATTGTTCATTAACCATTACTTTATACATAATTTAAAAGCAGTGTAAGGGAGATAATTTCAATGATGTATTTGATTTATCTCCCTTACACTGCTTTAAATTATGTTTTGTACTAAAGTATTTGTCCATTAACCAGGACAACCTTGTTTTTCCCCCTTTTTTGCCCCTAATTCCTAAACGGTTTGAGCCATAACCCCCCAAAGCAAATCCTAACCATCCCTTTGTGGTATGGAAACTTGTAGTATAATTTCAGAGAGATCCATACACCGTTCCACAGTTATTGTGTGGAAACTAGAAAATGCTTATTTTTGGCCCCTTTTTGGCCCCTTATTCCTTAACTGTTGGTACCATAACCCCCAAAATCAATCCCAACCTTCCTTTTGTGGTATTTAACCTTATGGTAAAATTTCAAAAAGATCCATTCACTTAAACTAAAGTTAGAGTGCGAAAACCAATGTGTCTTCGGACGACGACGACGACGCCAACGTCATACCAATATACGACCACAAAATTTTTTTGCGGTCGTATAAAAATTGTTAGCACATGTTTCAGAGGGAAAATTGCAAATCTGTTTCTAAGGATGACATATTGCCTCTAAAATACAATCATATACCTAATTATAATAATGAAAGAATCTATTTTTTCAGTTAGTTCCCCCTTAAAGAATGAGACAAAAGATATACACAAATCAACTTCTGATATTTTTTAACTTACTATTCCATAACAAGGACCATGGACTTTGGTGTTTCATAAGCGTCCCGTAACATCAGAAGTTTAGGGTGTGTCAACTCATTCATAATACTGATTTCATTTTTAACATTAAATTTTTCATCCTTCTTTCTGCATTTGATGACCTTTGCTGCCCAAGTTTCCTTTTCTTCCTTATGTAAGCACTTGTACACATTTCCAAACTTTCCTCTGAAAAAAAATTGTGATTTTCAATACACAAATAAAATATATTGTGTTTAGTTAATATTATCATTCACATTTATAAATTTCTTAAAACTATTCCAACATATCTGATGACCAAGTAGAGACATCATAGAAAGAAGTTTATAACATAACTTATGATTTTTCATTTTTGAAAGTGATTTCCTACACTTACCATAATAGACAATGCTGGACAACTTTGTTAACACATAATTTTAAAGTGCTTTAAGTGTTGTAGAATATATAAGTAAAAACAAAATTGTTTCTTCCTTCTTGTAATTTACCATGCTTACTTAAATACCATAATACTTACTTGCCAACTTCAGCAATCTTCTCATAATGATCCTCAAATATCTTCTCCGTTACAGGAACTACTGTCCTTGGAGTAAAAGGAAGCTCTTCCTCTGTAAACATCAAAAAATCAGATTTCTTATCTATCAATATATAGAAATACCGTCGTATGTTCCTAGTAGGACATTGAAAGTCAAAAGTCCAGTTTTATTTTACCTTGGTGGAGGTCCACTTTGAAAAAAGTGCACAAACCAGTTTCACATATATCTAATTCATGCCATCAAAATAACATACATCACACAGTAAGCAAAAGTTATTTTATAGAACCCTTTCAATCAGAAAGAAAAAAAATCTTGAATTTAAAACCTGCTAAAACTTTAAATTAATATAACACATGTATAAGATCGTAAGATTTAAGATGTAAAGATACTAAGAGTTAAATATTGTTACCGATAGATTATGAATACTTTAGTGGGTAAGATTTGCAATGTATCCTCAGTATGTAAGATTTACATTTAAATATTATAAATGATTATGTATATAATAAGTATCATATTGAAATGATAAATGAAAAGATATGATTTTCTAGTCTGATAACATTATAAAAATCAAGTTTTTGTTACCAACTGTGTCATGAAATCATTTCATTAATCACTCTTGTTACATCTTTCTCTCTTAGTTCTGATTTATGATACCATCAGAGTTTCTTAATCATTTGACAAAAATGACCTTAACATCTGACTTTATCTACTTGAAACTATAGTCTGTTATTAATAGCCACATTGCAGTTTAGGTAAAAAGCACCAAGAACAAAAACATTCCTATATCAAGCTGCCACTTGTCATTTGAATAAGGATACTATGAAACATACTATTTTTTTAAACTTGTTTGCATGATGACAAATACTAAGAGGCATTTAATACTTGATGTTGGTAACTATAGTAACATTTATTCACTCCTTATTTGTCTTATTGCCACTGTATACTTTGAGATTTAAAGAGAAATTGTCAAATCTAATGGTTAGGACATTCTTAATTGTTATAATTTGGGGAGTTTTCAATACTGAGAAAACTTAAATGTTATTTGTCTGCCTCTCTACACTGCCACCATAGTTAGTTTTGTTTATATCTCTGTATACTCTCCCAACAGTTAGTTTTGTTTATATCTCTGTAGACTTTCCCCATAGTTAGTTTTATTAATGCATCTGAATGAATACTTCACCCACAGTGAGTCTGGTTGGAACAGCATGCTAAATTTCATATATACAGTAGAAAGAAGGTCATTAAGATATCAAATGGACCTGGACTGTGTAACAATCATAACAGGCAAAACCTGGACTGTGTAACAATCATAACAGGCCAAACCTGGACTGTGTAACAATCATAACAGGCTCAACCTGGACTGTGTAACAATCATAACAGGCAAAACCTGGACTGTGTAACAATCATAAAGGGCAAAACCTGGCCTGTGTACCAATCATAACGGGCAAATCCTGGCCTGTGTAACAATCATCAAAACCTGGCCTGTGTAACAATCATAACGGGCCAAACCTGGCCTGTGTAACAATCATAACAGGCAAAACCTGGCATGTGTAACAATCATAAAGGGCAAAACCTGGACTGTATAACAATCATAACAGGCAAAACCTGGCCTGTGTAACAATGATAACAGGCAAAACCTGAACTGTGTAACAATCATAACAGGCAAAACCTGAACTGTGTAACAATCATAACAGGCAAAACCCGAACTGTGTAATAATCATAACGGGGCAAAACCTGGACTGTGTAACAATCATAACGGGCCAAACCTGGACTGTGTAACAATCATAACAGGCAAAACCTGGACTGTGTAACAATCATATCAGGCTTAACCTGGACTGTGAAACAATCATAACAGGCCAAACCTGGACTGTGTAACAATCATAACAGGCTCAACCTGGACTGTGTAACAATCATAACAGGCAAAACCTGGACTGTGTAACAATCATAAAGGGCAAAACCTGGCCTGTGTACCAATCATAACGGGCAAATCCTGGCCTGTGTAACAATCATAAAGGGCAAAACCTGGCCTGTGTAACAATCATAACAGCCAAACCTGGCCTGTGTAACAATCATAACAGGCAAAACCTGGCCTGTGTAACAATCATAAAGGGCAAAACCTGGCCTGTGTAACAATCATAACAGGCCAAAACTGGACTGTATAACAATCATAACAGGCAAAACCTGGCCTGTGTAACAATCATAACAGGCAAAACCTGAACTGTGTAACAATCATAACAGGCAAAACCCGGAATGTGTAACAATCATAACAGGCAAAACCCGAACTGTGTAATAATCATAACGGGGCAAAAGCTGGACTATGTAACAATCATAACAGGCAAAACCTGACCTGTGTAACAATCATAACAGGCAAAACCTGAACTGTGTAACAATCATCACGTGCAAAACCTGGACTGTGTAACAATCATAACAAGCCAAACCTGGACTGTGTAACAATCATAACAGGCAAAACCTGGACTGTGTAACAATCATAACAGGCAAAACCTGAACTGTGTAACAATCATAACGGGCCAAACCTGGCATGTGTAACAATCATAACAGGCCAAACCTGGACTGTGTAACAATCATAACAGGAAAAACCTGGACAGTGTAACAACCATAACTGGCATAACCTGGCCTGTATAACAATCATAACAAGCAAAACCTGGCCTGTGTACTGTGTAACAATCATAACATGCAAAACCTTGAATGTGTAACAATCATAACAGGCCAAACCTGGACTGTGTAACAATCATAACAGGCAAAACCTGGACTGTGTAACAATCATAACAGGCAAAACCTGGACTGTGTAACAATCATAACGGGAAAAACCGGGACTGTGTAACAATCATAACAGGCAAAACCTGGACTGTGTAACAATCATAACAGACAAAATCTGGACTGTGTAACTATCATTACAGGCAAAACCTGGACTGTGTAACAATCATAACAGGCAAAACCTGGACTGTGTAACAATCATAACAGGCAAAACCTGGACTGTGTAACAATCATAACAGGAAAAACCTGGACTGTGTAACAATCATAACAGGCAAAACCTGGACTGTGTAACAATCATAACAGACAAAATCTGGACTGTAACTATCATTACAGGCAAAACCTGGACTGTGTAACAATCATAACAGGCAAACAGTGGCAGTTGTGATTTTACCAATTCTATTCTGAAAACAATTTGAACATATGAAATTCACATTTCATAAAATCTTACATTAAATGCATCATGAATTAAGGGTAGACAAGAATTCTATATGTTATGACATTATTTGTTAGTTCTCTCAGTAAATACAATCCTTTGTTGGTACACACTCAAAATTAAAATGGTTAAACACAATGCCACTGTCTTCCACAAAAGGACAAAGATTAATGGGTTATGTAATTCAAATGAAGTTAAATCAGTTAAAAACACCAAATTAGATATAGATTAATTCTGTATTTAATTCTGTTAAATGCACAATATCATCCACCATACAGAGATTTGTTAGGCTGGGGTCAACAATCAGCAGTGCTTGTAAATCCAGTCTTACATTCTTTTATAACATCAAAACTTTAACTTATAGTTATTTGTACTAGTACAGTATTTTCTTTACAACAGTTTGTAAATCCTGATACTGTTAGTTGCCATGCACTTTGTTTGCTTAATACTCTAAATGAGTTGCTATGCCTAATTTTAACAACAGCAGCCTAACCAAACAAGTATTTCTTTCTGTTTTAAAGCTGTCAGTCTTTGTAACAATTTACTCAATTTTTAATTTACCTCTTAAAAGTGACATGTTAATTATAAAATTATTTAACAGTGTTTTTCTTCTAGTTTTTGCAAAGGTTTAATATATACATATATGGTATGTAATAAGTCACAATAAGACCTCCAAAGCTTTTTTAAAAATACATGCATATGTACAGAGATGTGATTTGGTAAAAGAAAAAATCATGCAATAAAGGAAATTTAGCAAAACAAGATTGATAAAAAGACAAAAGAATGAATGAATGAATAAGAGAAGGAATGAATATAATTCACTTTTTAATACTTTTTTAATATCTAAGGTTTAATTGTTCAAATAACCTATTTTCGGTACTTTTAAAACTTGATTTATATAAAACAAACTCTTGTTTTTTTTAGCCTACATACAAATTAACAATGAAAAATATAATATCAAATAATTACTTTTCCTCCGATATGATAAGTGTACCTTCAACCCCCAGAAATTCTACAATAAAAAATGATACCTTCTTCATCATCAAAGCTACAGTTCATTTTTGATTGAAACATGCTTGTCTCCAGCAATTTTTTCTTTCAAATATAATCCTTAAATTTTGAATTAAAATCTCTCATTCAGTACAGTGCAGTCCCAATAAATGATTTGGTAGTTTAACACTCGATTAATAAAACAGATAAAATCAATGTATTACAAAAACCTAAATAGTTTTTATAACAGGTGTAAAAATCCAATATAATATTATACACCTATGGCTTTATTGTATTATTAATAGTTTATTCAACCCCTACAATAATAATTACTGATATTCACTTTTTGACCAGACACCATGAAATATTCATTGAAATAGGACTATGTTATTTACAGGATTAAAGGAGTTTATAACACTTAACTTACTTATATAAAAAAGAAAATTATGAGATGACAGATGCCATTTAACTAAAGTGTAATTATTTATTTATTTGTTTAGTTTATGCTGTTGTCAAGTCAATAATTTAATTCAAGGAAGTATAAACAAAAGCAGACAAAATGACCATGATTTAGTAATTCTTCCACCAACAGATTTCTTGGAATTTTAACACAGTACAAACTGAAGAACTGAAGTCTAATTATCTCAATTAAGAACACTCAAGTTAAATACTAAAATGGAATAATATGTCTTAGGTGCATGCATGTTCAGTTTTGATAAAATAATTTTCTCAACTTAACAATGTAACTTAGTATGTTATTAGATTTTAAAAACCTAAAGAATACACATATCTTAGGTTTGAAACTTTTTTCAATTTACAGCTGACAAATATTTTCAAAAATAATACAAAATCATTTCCATTGCCAATTAATTTATTGATTTTTTAACAGTTTGGAGAGCTGAAATAATATTAAAGAGAACATAACAATTTTTGACACATGTACCATTATGTACTCTTTTTATTCATTTATTTTTTTTTTTAAATGTTTCTTGATATGATCATAAGTTCATTATAATGTGAATACATTAAAATTCTGAAAACATGAGAAGCTAGAAACTAGCAACATATAAATAATGGTGATTTGTAGCTAGCTCCTAAGTGTTTGCATAAAGCACTGCTGACTATTGGTGCTGTAAAGCATTTCTATGACAAAGACATACTACCTTGCATTGCTCGGGGTAAAAATGGAGAAATGGGTGAATCATTATCTATATAAATACTAGTGGTACCAAAAACATCTGAAAATGAGGTGGCATTCAAATATTAAAATGTACATTATGCAAAATTCAATTTTTGATGCTGTTCTGTCTAAAAGTTTTAAAGAACATCATATATGTGTGCAGAGAGAGTCCATTTAATACTAAATATTTCTCTTTCATTTATGTATGAAAATTATGACATCATAAAATCCAGAAATGAACAGATAAATCATGGCAAACCTGGTGTGGTATCATAAGAGCAAATACTTTACTCATAAAATTGAAAAAAAAAACATAACATTTTCATATCCTTTTAAAAAATAGTCTTTGATTGCCATTTTTGGCTAGGCTGAGGCTCATATCTACATTAATGAGAAACTACATGTAGTAAATTACATAATATACAGTAGGTAAAGAATTTTTACTTTAAGAGCATTAAATTGATCACCTAACGCAAATATGAATAAGAGATCTGTATATGGAAGTATTGATATTTGACTATCATGTCTAATTATTATCTGTAGATGATGAATTCTCTACTCAGGAAATTCAGGGGCCAAAACAGGTGACATTATCTTCTACGTTTTTGAACATAAAATTGAAATTAAAACAAAAGGTAAAAGTTTTACCCCTTGGTAAATTGTTGACACAGAGATCTGTCTAGCCTGTGTTACCTAACCACAAACTTTAAAAATCATGTATGATGCCAACGCAAATGAATGAAACAGCACATTTAAGTCTCTGATCTGCGAAGATCAGTTGCAGGAAAGACAAAAACTTGTATTTCCTTCTCTTTTGAATAAGAAATATTTATCCTATAAGTACTTTATACTTGTATCTGAACTTATAAATGACATCATAAAATCATTCATAACTGAGAAGAAATGTTCTAGTAAATCAACTGTTTCAAATTTCTCTTTTATTTCAAGATAATTTCTATTCTTTTTCAATTTTACTTCATAAAAGAGAAACAATGTCATGACAGTATATTTATCTGCATGCTTTGCTATGTTATGCTTCAAACATAATTATTTCTATAAAAAATGGACTATTCAAAGAAGCTTCTATATTAAAACACAAGCAAAACATGCACTCCACATAATTTTATTTACAAAACCACAACTGTGCATGGGTGCTAACCATCATACATGCACACAACATCTTGAAGCAGTGTTAAAAAAGCATTGATCTGCCTCATTCATGAAATAATATATTTATACAATAGGTAATATGATGCCATAATATTTCACAATGCAGTAGGTCATATCTGAATGTAGCTAAGAGAATGAAAGAACAGAGTTCCTATGTCCCCTGTTTTGAAAATATCTTATGTGCCCAAGGACAATATGTAACAAAATAATTTCTAATAAACATCTTGCAAAAAATGCAGGAATGAGATCACTAATAATGTTATTTTCAATAAACTTCTATTTCAAAGGGGCATTACTTTTGTAAAAATAGTTTGTCAGCACTCTTCCAAGACCTTGTTTGATATAAACTTCATAAACATGAGACAAGAAATTTAGGTGTGAGGGTGCCTACAATGCAATGTTCAATATAAATTATATTTCAAAGTGACCTTTTTTGGAACTCACACAAGACCTTGCTAAAATAAATGTATGGTATTAATGTCATAACAATCATACAAGAAATGTAGGTGTGAGAGTGCTAACAGTGTAATTTTCTATATAAGCAGTATTTCCAAGGGGAACAACTCTTTTTTTTTAAGTTGATCAGCACTGTTTTTCAAAATTGTCAGATTTAAACTTTTGACATAAATTTCATAAATATCTGGCAAAATTTGTACACTCGAGAGTGCTGACAATTCAATGCTGATTTTTGAACTCTTACCAGACATTGTTAATATAAACGTTCGATATAAATTTCATAACAATCCTTACAAGACTGGACAGAAGGATTCGATGCCCACTATTTCTATGTGAACCTGCAACCATTGCAAAGTAGACAAAAACAATTGAAGAAAACAACATTTCAATAATGTGGTTGTAGCATGTTATGAACCCTCTGATTAAATTCTCATAATAAATTGAAATCTAAATAAATGTTTCAAAACATATTGTGATACAAAAGTTAAATTCAATAAATTCATTATCAATGAATGAATATCATTGACACTTAAACCAAAATGATATTTGTCATGAATATAATATGCCTTTTAGAAACACTGTACAGCTTCAAGCAAATGATATGAAAACACAAATTCATTTCAGGCCTTTTGTTTTCTCATTTGAATTGTTTTGACATTTTGTCATGTCAGGTTCTTTTATAGCTGACTATACAGTATGGAGTTTTGTCCTTGTTGAATACTGTTACCTATAGTTGCTTACGTCTGCATCATTTGGATTTTGGTGGATAGATGTCTTATTGGCATATCACATCTCCTTATTTTTACACAGTGGTAATGGGTAATGCTGTAACACTACAAGGATTGTAGAAACCAGCTAATTTCAGTGTACACCCAAAAGGCCAACACTAATTGAATATAATTCTGGATCTAAATAGACATTGCTCAATAGCATATTGCATTGTGAAAACTTATTTCATCATATTACCATTTGTGTCATTAAATAAAAGAAATCAATATTTACCATCAGAATCGACTGAGAGACGGTGTGATGGATGACTATCTTTGGTTACTATGACATCAGATACAGGACTGGGCTCACTAAAACCAATCTTGTTTTTGGCACTGACTCGGAAAAAGAATGGATTGTGAGCGGCAAGATTTGTGGCACAATATGAGGTACTCTGCAATAAAAAGTAATTAGGAAAATAAGACTTTGTTATTTGCTGGTCATTTTTTGCCGGAAAAATTTCTACTTATTTATGTCAACATGACAACTTAAGGGCATACGATACAGTAGAGATCCCTCGTTGATTTTTTCTTGAAATTTTGGTACAAGGTCAATTTCGATGTGTACTTTTGAAATATGCAAAGAAAAATATACCTTCATGACTTACTTTTTGAGATAATTTGGTTCGAAATTTGCATATTTGAAGCGAAAACCCTGAAATTTCATAAAAAAGGACTTTTAAGGAAAGTTACAATACTTTTGAACGAACAGTCATAACTTAACCGGGTTTTTTGTAAAATGTTCCCTTGGTCCATGGCATGACCATTCTGTAATAAGTTTAAAGTTAAACCAAATAATTATTTCAGAATTTACATTACTATAAGTGAAATAAAGAAATTGACAATATTTTTGCGTCTATTCAGAAGTGCAGAAAAAGTTCGATCGTTGATTTTTTCTTAAAATTTTGGCGGAGCGTTCTTTAAACATTATTTGATTGATTGCAAAAGAAAAAACTGGGGGTCCATGTGCTTGTTTTTTCAATAAAAGCAATAAACCTTGATTTTGTAATGACAAACCAATAGGTTGCCAATAGGGCGCTAAACTACGTTGAAATAAGTTTTAATCGCAATAACGTCGTGAAATCATTCCCGCCGTTCACGATTACGCTGTCAAGTTCATTGGTATAGCCAAGGTTTTTTTTTCGAAAACAATGATACAATGTATTAATCATCAAAATTTCAAAGCTGGTTACTCGTAAAATAGCATAACATATTTTCCAAACTTTTATGAATTGTTACGAAACTTGGATACAAAAATAAAATACTTTTAGAAAAGAAAGGTGCGGAAACAAAAAAGATAAATCTGATAAAAAAAAAATTTGCATCTCTGTCCGACATTTGTCCGTCAACACAGCTTGGGCATAATTTTAATTATTCAAATAGCCCCGACATGACAAAATATGAAACAATTATAAAGTAAGTGGGATACTATAAAGATAAGGACAGTTGGTACCATTGCCAATGAGAACAACTATCAACCATAGTTCAAATAACGAAGATAAACGAAATTAAAGGTCACCGTACGGCCTTCAACAAAAAAAAGCCACACTGTAAAGTCAGCTTTAAAAAGCCCCGACATAAAAATGTTATCAATTTAAACAAGAAAACTAACGGCCTACTATATAGGCATTATATGAACACAATACCATACCCACATTAACTCGGGTCAGCTTAGAACTACTCTGAACATGTTTAAAAAGTGAATATTTAGAGCTGTTTCGAGCAAATTCATGTCGTAATTATCTCAATATAGTCCATTACGATGTAGTTTAACATTTCATAGGAAGTACAGCAGTCGGTATTAGAGCATGAAATTGCATTATTCTGTATCAATTGATAAGTTGCGTAAGCTTGTCTTCAGGGTATTTCTATACCCCTCCCCCCAATTCCGTTGGGGGGGGGGGGGGGGGGGGGGCATATTGTTTTACCCCTGTTTGTATGTCCGTCCGTCCTTCAGTCTGTCATTCCGTCTATAATACGGGGCTTATAACTGTGTCTTTTTAACTGGCAGTTCTTTTTCATACACATATACACATATATATTCCACTGGGTTAAATTCTAAAAATACCGTTTAACTTTTTAGTGTACTTATTCAAAGTCAGGAACAGTATTGGGCATTGTCTTTATTTATCATGCTATTTGTCATTTTGTTGATAGTCTCTGTTAAATTTATCTGTAAAATTTTCCATACGATTTAGAGTTTGCAAAATGGTGTAGATACTATGTTTTGATCAAGACAGTACGTTGATATCTAAATTACTTATTGGGCTTTTTGTGTAATTGGATTTCTGTCTCATCGACGTATTATTATTTACCTATCTTTAATTCATTTCCTATATGAAATAAAACGCATACAAAATTATGAATGTGGTTTGATTTTTTTCACATTTCAAGTTAATACTGTTGAACTCATTATTAATGAATAAATATAACAATTTTCTCGTGATATGGCCGATTTTCTTAGCAGGTACTTTGTTTCAAATTCGCGCAACTTGAATTATGACGTCAGTGAATTTTTCGCAAATGTGACTACATTTAACTCGACGTCTCGAAATGTAATTGTTCTTATTAGAAACTTCGCGAAATTACAACGTTCTGATTAACAACGTCGCGAAAACAACACGAAAAGATTTGAAAACGTTATTATCTGCCCCTGCTACTGTATCGTATTCCCTTAAATATTTAAAAAAAAAAATAAACATTTCAGTGGCAAAAAAAATTAGTTTCAGATTTTTCTGAAAATTTCAGTAGAAAATCTTGACCCTATGATAATTTTTACTAAATTTTGCTCTAACTACTTTTGTTTTATAGATATGAGCCAAAATTTACAATATTATAACTAATTTCATTTTTTTTAACAGATGTCATATTTGTTGATTGATCAAATACACTGACATATTTATAAATTAGAAGCCATAAGGAACATTAAGGTAAACATTGGTAACATTAGGCTCAGTAATTTCAGAGGAGAAGTCTTTAAATGTTTACAGAGACAGATAAACAGGCAAAAGACAAAATGTATGGATGCCAAATAATGGCAAAAGCTCACATGGCTCATTGGGCAAGGTCAGATAAACAGGCAAAAGACAAAATGTATGGATGCCAAATAATGGCAAAAGCTCACATATCTCATTGGGCAAGGTCAGATAAACAGGCAAAAGACAAAATGTATGGATGCCAAATAATGGCAAAAGCTCACATGGCTCATTGGGCAAGGTCAGATAAACAGGCAAAAGACAAAATGTATGGATGCCAAATAATGGCAAAAGCTCACATATCTCATTGGCAAGGTCAGATAAACAGGCAAAAGACAAAATGTATGGATGCCACATAATGGCAAAAGCTCACATATCTCATTGGGCAAGGTCAGATAAACAGGCAAAAGACAAAATGTATGGATGCCAAATAATGGCAAAAGCTCACATATCTCATTGGGCAAGGTCAGATAAACAGGCAAAAGACATAATGTATGGATGCCAAATAATGGCAAAAGCTCACATGGCTCATTGGGCAAGGTCAGATAAACAGGCAAAAGACAAAATGTATGGATGCCAAATAATGGCAAAAGCTCACATGGTTCATTGGGCAAGGTCAGATAAACAGGCAAAGTACAAACAACAGTGAACAAAACAACACAAAGAAAACTTTAAAAGATTGAGCAACAGGAAACCCACCAATAACAGTGGGCAAACTCAGGTGCTCATAAAGTGTTAAAGCTTCTTGTTCTATCAGCAGAACCTGTTGTGTAGTTCATTGCAAATTCAAATTCTGTGATTTGCCATATCAATAGACGAACTTTCTACAATATATCTCAAAATCATAAAATAAGAAACTTTACTAATTCCCTTTAAATAAGCCATTAAAAACTTACAGAACAATTTTCAGACAAAGTTTGCCATTCTTCCTCTTCAGCATTACACATCTCTACTTTATAGTTTTTGACTAGACTTCCCCCATCACTGTCAGGTTCAGACCATGAAAGGATCACCGTAAATAAAGTGGTTTCTGTAGCATATGGTTTACTAGGAGGACTTGGCACATCTGTAATAGAAACATAGAAAACTTTAATGATCCCTCACTGAGACTTGGAGATGAAGAACAGCAATAAAAGTGCTGTTCCTTTGATTTGTGTTTTTCCAAGGAAGAAATTTTGTGTCAAAAATCAATACACCATATCATTTCTTTTGCATTACAAAAGAGATCTAAGGTTAAAACAATATAAGACTATCAAAAAATACACAACAGAAATAAATTACTACAATTTGTCATGATATATCTAAAAACACAATGGTTTTTTATCCCATCAGAATAATATGATTAAGTTGAATATCCTCTTATCAAGTCTTTCATATATAACTCTTGAAAAATTTTGTAGATACCTGAAAAAGTGTTTTAATTTAAATATTTGATGACTCATATTCATTTAACACCCAGATATTCTCATAAAACACTTGAAGCATACGTGGTTAAATCAATGTCTACAGCTGAAATAAATGTAAGGTAAATTTCTCAACAATTTTTAGTCCATGTGATTATGTAGGAACAGCTAGGGCATTTGACACTGTAGCAAAGAAATAATGAAGGGTCAATCAGCAACTACTGAACAATATTATAAAAAGGGCAATTTAGAAAAATCTATCTGTAATATTTGAGAAAAAAATAAATGAACAATTAAAAAAGTCAGTTTGTAAAAAGTCTATGCATTAACCATATATATATGTAGCTCCATACGGGGAATCCACGTTAAAGAGGTTTGAAGATTTTACCTTGCTAAAGTATCTTACGATGAAGTTCTACAAAATTTTAAACTGTATAAATACAAAACATACCTAGGACTGTGACAGTAGTTTCAGTAGAGTCTGATCCAACATCGTTGTCCACCTTGACATGATATCTCCCACTGTCTCCCCCGTCCACCTGGTCTATAATTAACCTACTAAAATGTTCTGTTGTATTTATGAAGTATAATTTATCTGAAAGACAAACATATAAATATATGCATAAATGATTTCTATATTTTATGCAAGTCATCTTACAAAAATATTTTTTACACGCCTTTTCAAACACATGAGATACCTTGATGTGTTAAAATAATCAATGTGTATTCAATAATTAATTATTATCACCAGTACACTTAAGGAGTTGTACATTTATTGCATGTTTCAGCAAATAATTAACTGCAACAAGGAAAAAATTATACAATTTAATTTAAATGTATTAACATACTGATTATCTAATAATCATACTTTGAAAGTAATTAACTGGAATTCAATAAAATTAACACAGAGTTATCTCCCTTGCATTAATGTGTGAGGCCCCATTCTTGTCTAAACTTTAAGTGGGCCTAAAAAAATCACTACAAATAATTCTTTCCAGTGTGTTGTATGTGCTGTGCAGGATAAATCAATTGAATTACTTAATATAACCAACCACTTATTTGCTTTGCTTTACTGGTAATAAAATAAAAACATGAACAAAAATCATTACATTTACTAAATTTGCCATTTAAGGAATGGATGAACCGATGAATGATTAATGCCAAGTAGAAAACTCATGTATAAACCATACAATATTTTGATATCTATAAAAATTAATGACATGGTCTTTTCTATTCCTTTAAAAACTGTTTTATGTTGTGCCAAATGTAATCAATTTCCACTTCATTAATAGATAGGTTTACCTCCCCTTACAGATATATAATACATGTATCTATTCTTATGCTTCAATTTTTTCTAAACAAAAAAAGAGTGTATATATACCATATTGAATATTTTTACTAAGTTACATACTTGAAATAATTTCGAAACTGTCTCTAAACCATTGCACAACAGGTTTAGGTTCAGCTGTAAAGGAGACTTGAAGTTGTAATTTCTGTCCTTGTTCAGTCACAACATTCCTTGGACTAATTTCATGGATACGAGGGGGCTGTTTCTGAACAGATTCAAAGTCATCTTCAAATTCATTGTCATCATAGTTACTCTCATCTAAACTAGTTGAAACAGATGGCATGCTGGGAGTTTTATGTTCATATTGTTGTGAAACAGTATTTGGCTGCTGTTCAAATGACGGAGTATATGGTGGTGTTTCAGTGGAAGAATAGGAAATTTTCCGTACAGGGGTGTGACTTGAAAAAGAAGATGTTTGATTGGATGAGAGATCAGAAGGTCCTTCCTCATCTGTTACTTCATTGGATGGGTTGCTGCTGCATTCTACAGAAATAACATAAAATAATTAATGTTGCATGTACTTTCATAACCATAGTAACAATGAAAAATAATGTCAAGTAGAAATCTTATGTACATCAACAACAAATTTCTAAGTTGCTGAAAAAATATTAAGCAACACTGCCATTTAGCTACTTTCAACATATGGCTGAGTATATATGTTTATTCATTAGGTAAGATCGGGTTCAAGAGAACACAAATACATAAAATATTTAAGATTGTACTTTATTAAAGCTACAATGAACTGAATATTCATGACATCATAGTTAATGTTGCTGATACAATTGACTTCACCCGTCTAGACTTGGATTTTGATACTTGTCCATATTTGAAGACGATATGTTGACTTCTATGTGTCTTTTGGTTGTTGTTTTGCTATCTCAGTAATTTATTACCCTCATCTCCTTCTTATTCATATTTAAAATAGAAGACCAACAATCTTTGCTGTATCATTTCCCTGCTTAGTGTTATATTGATTGCAAGGTATATTTCTGAATGCTAAACAATTCAACTAGTATACAGAAAACCAACAGACTGATTGATTGTTTGCTAAATGAACAATGCAAATATTTCATCATATTCAGTACAATTATTACCAGCAGAATATGCCTGAAAGTTTTCATAAGTAAGAGATACATACATTGACTTGATAGTACCAACAAATGTAAAGTTATTTTAATGACTGGTATTCAATGTTAAACACAAAATACAAGGTTCATTTATATATATATGGTCAAATATGGCCTTGAAATTCAGCTATATCATAAAATACCAAAAAGGACTGGCTATAATTTGGTTCTACATGGACCTTTTTCAAAAGCTTTACTACAAAGTTAACCAAAATCTCTTCATACAAGTACATTCTAGGCTTCAAAGTCAGCAGATATATTGTTAAAATACTTTTATTTTTCAGGCGGTGGCAGCCAATGTAAATTATAATAAAAACTGTCAAGAATTATTGAAAAATTGACCAAAATGATAAAGGGGTCATCATTTATAAAGTGATGGGCCAGAAAGAATTTATTTTGTATAAATAGTAGTATCACAACTATTACTATGTGAAATTTGTAATATTTTGGCGTTACATGTATAAAAAAAACATCAAAATCTAAGGGCCAATTTTAACCCTTCATGAGCTTACTCCTTTACATTTGTAAAATGTAATTCATTGAAAACTTTCACAAAAAGGCATCTTTCTGTGTCCACACTTACCTTCAACATAGAGATGACAAGAACATCTTGCAGTACCTAGACTATTTGTAGCAGAGCAGAAATATTCCTGAGTTCACACTTACCTTCAATATAGAGATGACAAGAACATCTAGCAGTACCTAGACTATCTGTAGCAGAGCAGAAAGATTCCCGAGTTCACACTTATCTTCTACATAGAGATGACAAAAACATCTTGCAGCACATAGACTATCTGTAACAGAGCAGAAAGATTCCTGAGTTCACATTTACCTTCTACATAGAGATGACAAGAACATCTAGCAGTACGTAGACTATCTGTAGCAGAGCAGAAAGATTCCTGAGTTCACATTTACCTTCTACATAGAGATGACAAGAACATCTTGCAGTACATAGACTATCTGTAGCAGAGCAGAAAGATTCCTGAGTTAACATTTACCTTCTACATAGAGATGACAAGAACATCTTGCAGTACATAGACTATCTGTAGCAGAGCAGAAAGATTCCCGAGTTCACACTAACCTTCTACATAGAGATGACATGAACATCTTGCAGTACCTAGACTATTTGTAGCAGAACAGACATACTCTCCATCATCCTCAGGATAAGCCCCGGCTATAACCAAAGTTGATGTGTTATCTTCATAAGTCATACGGAAAAACTTAGAAGGCTACAAATATAAGGTCAAGTGAATTAACCCACATGTCAGATCTTATTTATATAATGATACTTACATTGATATATGATGGACATTAAAACAAGTAAACACCTTTAATTCCATATCTCATGGACAAACAAATGTAAATTAAATTGAGGTATAATCACAGTCTATGTTTAAATATCACTTTAATTCCCCATTTCAATTTCCTTATCCATACATCATGTTACAAAAATACATACATCAAATTACAGTGTTTAAATTAATTATGCTAAATACCAAAAATATTATTCATACTTCCCATTCTGAAATTTTCCCAGACAAAAATAATTTACAATTTCCTCAATTTTGTAAACTTAAGTTAATTTTAACTCAATTAAATTGTTTACTTTATAAAATATCAAATATGAAAGTTTGAAGTGCATATTTAGTTAACAGTGTCAAATTACAATAAAATCATTGAATGGAAAAGTTAATCAACTGCACAAGAAATTAAAGCTGTAAACTTTAAAAAAATAATTTGAGTTTATATAGGTAGAAATCAGGCATTGAATTTCATGACAGATAATTAGGCCTTAAATCTACATTAAGGAAACAGAATTATTAAAAAACCATGATGTCATTGGATATTCTGCATTGTTCCTGCTTTACCATAAAATAAGCTTAAATTGCTGAAAGACCCCCCTCCTAAATTACTGAAAGCTATCATTTTGCATTAACCATAGTATTAAGGTAAATATAAGATACACCAATCGGGCTTATCCCTTCACTGGTGTATCTAATACATGAATACCAAGCAGTTTCCAAATGTTTCAAAAACATAAAGATGAATTAAGTCTACAAAAGTACAACAAGGTTAAACAATGAGAAAGTCCAGTGTATGTTAACTTTTAATGTATATAATTGTAACAGTAACAGGACACATTTTTTATCGGCAAATGATCTAAATCATATATTTCCATTTCTTGAGAATCCAGGCCCAATAACCTGTCACCACTATGTCATATTGTCCTTTTTCCTTGAATGATTTTATGACCAATTGTGACAAAACAATCATAAGACAATCATAACTAAGTAGATCAATTAAATAACATAGGTACAGACTAACTAGGACATATACTGTTGAAGACAGAGGACTTTGGTTTTTTGTGTTTCGTTTAGTGTAAGATTATTTTATTTGATCCTCAGGGGTGGATTCAGGCGGGGGCGTGGCAGGCGTGCGCCCCCTAAAATTTCCAAAGCATTGGGTTGTCCTCAGCTTAATAAAGAATATTTCAATACTTTTACCTCAAAAAAATTTAAGTTTGCGCCCCCTCTAACCTAAAATCCTGGATCCGCCCCTAATCCTCCAATGATTTTAATATGATCAGACACAAGTTTTATCAACTTATGAAGTCTTTTTCTGTATATATTATGATAATAATATTACATTATTTTTCGTGTGTTAATTAGGTAGCTGTGTTATTGAATATTTACCCCACATATCATATATGTATATCAACATAAACATTTTTTGAACAGGGTCTTTTATGCTTAAAGGGTTTGGAAGACAAGTTCTGAATAGTGAATTTACAGTATGAAATTGATGTAATAATAGTCTGTTGGTCAATTAATGATTTTAGTATGTAATAGCACACTTATTAAACAAGTTGTTTCCCTTAGCCTATTGTAGACTGGTTCTCTAAACTGGACAAAATAGACTACTACCCATGCAAATAATGCAAGTTTATAGTGATATATATAGGCATTTGGACCAATTTTTAATAAAGAATACTGTCATTAGTGGAAAACTTAACGAAAAACATAATCATGATAATCAATGCAATCCTTCATGAGAATTTAGCCTGACAAAGCATGTACCCTGCATGCATAATGACAAAGTTCATCATTCATTTTTTTTGTGTCGATATCAATTTCCATGGATTGAGGAAAAAATGTATTTTTGTAGATATTTGATTTTATGGTTCTGCTAAAGTCTGCAAACAAGCCTATAGAAAATAAATAATTGGTTGAACATTTAAATTTGTGTTTAATCTACACCCATGAAATCAATTAAAAATTGGTAATAATAATGAATCCATAGTAAATAGATATCAAAAGTGTTTAGCTTAACAAAACATTAATATTTACACACAGATAAATTGGTCTTTCTTCTAGCTTTTCATTGTCAATCAAAAGGTATGTTCCTTTTAAGGGAAACAACTCATACAGATCTTTCTCTCATTTCTGAGTCAATTACAGAATTGGCAGAAAGACTATTAGTTAAGCACAAAATATGTATCCACATGAACCGTACAAGTCAATAATTTGTGAAAACATCAAAACACAATTCACTTCATCTTTTCCATTGTAATTTTTATGCTTTTCATAGTGTTTTAAGAGACTTTTTATTTTGATGTACATTGTATTGTCCTGAATGACAATTTAAGATGCAAAAGACATTAAAATATTAACTGTTTCATGTTCACTAATAGTACCATTAATTTTATAACAAATTATACTCATTAAGTTGATTTAATAAACCTAACACATGTGGCAGGCTTGTCGACTCCAGTCTTATTTAACTAAGACTGCCAGTTTTCCTAAGGAAGGTCAGTGGTTTTCTCCATGCATTCTGGCCTCCTCCATCAGGTATAAAGGGCGTATTCAGTGAAAAGAAGGGAGGGTGGGCTTTTGTCTAACATCCAGTTGCAAAATTATTTTAGTTAACAAAAAAAAGGTAAATCTAATAAATAGGCTTTTCAAAGTGGGTCAACCAAGATGAAGGTACTAGAGAAAGAAGTAAATGTTAAGGATCCAGCCATCAGAATGATGGATTGTTGTGCAGAACAATATATTCTACAACAAGCCACCTACAGCCTAAGAATTTATGCAGTTTATGAATGGAGAGATCATATATGGCACTCTCCCAACATGCAGCTATAGTCATAGAATAGATGGCATATATTAAGATGTCAACATTTTAGATTCATGTTACAAATCTAACACAGCCAAAGAGAAACCTCAATATTTTCAACTCAAGAATGACAATAATAAAGCCAAAAAACATTTAAGAACCTTTGCATTTCTTTAACTTAGATACTGTATTGGTCTACACTATTCTTTAAAAATGCTGGGGTTTTTTTATAGACTAGCACACATCAAGTTTTCTAAAATATAAGTACCTCCTCTGAAATCACAAGGTTTTAAACAGATATCTTTAGGTCAGACCAAACAGAATTTAGAAATAATCATCAACTGACCAGACACAATCTGATTACAGACAACTTAGTGTCCTTTTTGTTGTTAGGGATGAGGGATGGATAAATACTCTGCCACGTCTGGTCTGTGTTTATGTTTGATGTTTTTTCTGCTTTGTATCGATCTGATGAGTTAAGCCTTTTTCTACTGATTTTTATAGTTTTTTTTTTATGTTGTGCTGTTACACCACTATCTAATCCAAATGAAAAAAAATAAATTTCAAATGAAAATGTCTCAAACCACCTTTTAACCATACAAAGTTTACTATATCAATAACACTGATGAAAAACAAAAATAACAGAAATATCACAAAGTAAGATTCCTCCTATTCATATTTGAAAAGATTTTATGTTAGAACACACCATTAGACACTAGCAAAGTTCTACTATATCAGTTTATAAGCAGTTTGTTACGTTAGCTTTCCTGCAACACTCACCTGTATACGTTTTGATGTCTGCAAAAAGTTAGATTTTTATCCAAACAATGGGAGATAACTCTTGTCAACCTTGAATGATTCTATTAAAAAATTTTCATTATAGCTCAAATACTTCACCACATCAAATATATTTCTTTCCATATCTAAATCAAGTTTTCAAAATTTTGTCCACAACCAAGACAACCAATTTCATGCATAATTTAGAAGAAAAAGTCTGCACCCAACTCAGTAACTCAAGTATGAAAAGCACTTTCTTGAATAAAACAGTCTGATTTCATCAATGTGCACTACTCAAAGTAGTAATCTTAACTGTGAATATCTGCTTTTAAGTGGGCTTCCTGTTTTAATATCATACCTATCTATAGTCCAGATAATTCTTTATCTTTAAATGTAGTACAAAATAATTATATAATCCACGACAACAATGCATGATAAATTTTCAAAGCTTTAAACCATATTTCTTAATTCCCAATCTTTTAAAGTATTACATGAGATATCCTCTCGCTATTGGATTGATTAGTCACTATCTTTTGTGGTCGTACTATAGTACCCAAACAGTACAATACTTCCCTAAAAGTTTTAACAAAAATCATATTTCATTATCTTTAAAAATCACCCTACAAACTTTTATTTTCTCAATTTATTTTAAAACTTTTACCCACATATTTTCAAAATTGGTAGAACTTGGTGTTGATGACAGATATTTAATAGTTACTGTTTTCAGTTATACACAATTTTTTGTAAAACCAGAATAATTGAGAGCACAGATATTCTCAATAACTAACAACTAATTTTAATGACGGCTTTAAAGGGTATCTCAATACCAACATAGTAAGCTTACAATAAGAAATGTTACAGGGGGATGGAGACAATATTTGGTAAAAAGGGCTTCAAACTGTTAGTCAAGAATAAATCTCTTGTGCAAAGACCAAAGAGACCTTCAAGTAACATTACACTCTTACTTAGCCCTTTAAAGGGTGTACTGGTACAATCCAGTTATTGTTGTTAACACAGAACTTCAGACACATACATGTAACTATACTTGATATATATATATAAGCTTCTCTTTATTACATATTAGTATTTTGCGAAATAAAAAAATTTAATAATTAACTTTTAGGGAGTTTATAAAAAATCAGCGCTTGCTTAAGTTTCCAAAGCAGAACCTACCTTAATTCTTTTGTTGTTCATTGCCCAAGCCACATCAGGTCTAGGAATACCTGACACCTGACACTGCAAGGTCACAGACTGACCTTCACTTACTCTCACATCTACAAGGTCTGCAAGGAATTTTGGATATTGACGATGATGAGGTTCAACATGACGTTTCAAAACATGTCTGAAATCCAACTGCTCAACAATTGCAGGAGACTTTTCGAAATCAAATTTTTTGGAGTATTTTGTCTGCTTTTTTGATGGAACACTTCTTAAGTCATCTGATGGAGAACTTATAGAGTCATCAGCAAAATCAGAGCTAAGACCTGATATTTTTCTGAGAATATTTTTATCTGCATCATCCACATCTAACTTTTCTATAGGACCATATCTTGGGTTTCTTTTTAAACTCTCGAATTCTCTATCTATTCTAGAAAAATCCTCAAAAAGTTCTTCAACTTCACTGAATTTAGTTCTTTTTAAATTCATCATAACTGCATGGCCAGGACTTAAATTTTCAGGGATATTTTCTAAAGCACTTTCATGAACATCACTTTCTGAATTAGTACCATTCATGTTTTCAAATACATTTTTCCTATCCATTTCTCTGTCTGGGTCATTATTTTGAGAAGAATGATTATTATAAGACACAGAGGAGATTTTTCTGTCAAGTTTATCAGAACCAATTACATTTTGATTTTCTCTATTTTCATTTCTTCCATTCTGATGCCTATTCGTAACCTCAATACTATTTTCATCATCGGTTTGTTCAGCATAAAGCTTGGACAAAGCATCCCATTTCTGGGCTCTCTCAATTTTTTGCATTTCTAATTTTTTTTCAACAACTTGATGATTACTTTTCTCTGATGGGTCAGAAAATTCTGAAACACCATTATTACTCTCCATATTATTCACAATTTTACTATGACGATAATTGCTTGGTGAAAATTCAACCCTATTTTTCTGTGGTGATGCAGACCTAGTGTTTTCCCGTGAACTTTCTATTTTTTGTTTTCTATTTGTAAGAACAGCCTGGTCTTGACTGTCATGATAGCGAGTATTCTGATCATTCCTTTTTGGTTGTGGTGAACTATCCTGAATTTTAGTTTTAGCCTCAATTTGATTTAAAACATTCCTGAAATTAGGTGAACTTTCTCGACTTAATCTACGTGTTTCTCCTAAATTTCTTGATCGGTTCATTCTTTCAGAAGATTTTGGCACAGATTCTGTAAAAGAAGTTACAATTCTTTGTTCTGGTATTGGAGGCCTGTCTTTTAAACGATCTAGAACATCATCAATGTTGTTAATACGTTGTACACTTGTTTTTATAATTGGAGATGGATCACTTTCCTTTTGACCAGACATTTTCTCACGAAAACTTCCTGTACTATGTAATTTTGCAGGAGAACTTGTTGATGGAAGTGAATTTCTTTTCTTCTCTAATAATTTTTTAAATTCACTTTGTCCTGTCACAGGTCTTTCTACAACGGAAGTTCTTTTTTGTTTTTCTGGCATTGTTCTAATTTTATCAGTTTCAAATTTTTGTCCAAACACAGCTCCCATTTCTACAGCACTGTTTTGTGAGGCTTCTGCTAAGAAATTTCTTTTTGATCGACCTTCTGAAGTAGGACTTAGAAAAGTTTTTGTATGATCTTCTGAAGTATGACTTGCCAAAGTTTTTGTATGACCTTCTGAAGTAGGACTTGGCAAAGTTTTTGTATGACCTTCTGAAGAAGGACTTGGCAAAATTTTTGTATGACCTTCTGAAGCAGGACTTAACAAAATTTTTGTACGACCTTCTGAAGTAGGACTTGGCAAAGTTTTGGCACTATTTACTTTCAATCCCTCAATTTGCTGTTCTTGCAATATCATCGTTTGTTTTTTCCCTATAATTGTTTTCAAGTCACTGTGTAAAACAGCTTGTCTTTCTTTTACTGAAAATTCAGATTTTGATTCTGTATCCTCATTTTCACATCTGTTCAAAAGTTCACATTTATTCTCACATTTAGTTTTACTTTGAAGTGACTCATTTTCAACTTCTGACAAACTTTTAGGTGACCCAGACATTTCATTTGCAAGCTTTCTTACATTTATTCTTATACTTCTAGCTTCAGAAAAACTTTTTGGAGACTCTGTTGTTCTACTTGAATTCAAATTTCTATTATTTCTAGAAGTCACAAACTTACTTTGATCAATATTGTGTGGGTCAGAGAATTTTCTGACTGCGTCTGCTACTTTTACAGGAGATTTGTCTCTCTGTCGTTTACCTATTACAGAATGTGTGTCAACTCTAGTTGTTGACAATTCTTTATTCCTTACTGAAGCCAATCCATGTCCTGTCCTTTTATCCTTTGGAGTCTTAATCTTGTTTAAAACATCCCTAAAATCTTCTTTTTTCTGATGACTATGTCCTTGTCTACCCCTGGACAAACTACTACTAAATGTTGTTGGTAATTTTCTAGCAGGAGTTAAATTGTTAGAAAATGGAGAATTTTCTGGAGGTTTATCAAACATTTCAATCTTTCTGTTGATGACTCCTCTCTTTGGACCTTCCGATGTAGATCTCTTTGGACTTTCCGGTGTAGATCTCTTTGGACTGTCCGGTGTAGATCTCTTTGGACTTTCTGGTGTAGATCTCTTTGGACTCTCTGGTGTAGATCTAAAATGAAATGCTCTGATGTTATTAATGGGTGAAAAATCAATGAAACAGCAACCCCACAGATTAACCAAAATAGACATCTGAAGACATTTATTCCACCTGTGGTGGAATCTATATTTCTCTCACGATTTTAGACATGTAAGCAAAATTTATCTAACTTTTTCAATGCTCTGCAAAAACACTATTCTTTCTATGTGACATTATCAGACATGATCCCCATTATCATGCCAAATAGCGAAATCAGAGGCAAAATAATTGAAGTTATGATTAAATTTTGACAAATGAAAGACTGAAATCAAGTGAATGACAGGTTGGTTATTAATTAGGCATGGAAAGTATAGATCTGCTAAGAATGTGATAGATACAAATTCTAACACACAACCTTGTTGATTACAATATTAATCCCCTCGAGATAGTTCAATTTTCAAATTTTTAAATGTGAGGTTTATCGAGTTAAAGAAGAAAAACATAGCATAATCAGGTATAAACCCAGGTTTGCCCTACCATATTTTTCCAACAAAAGGTGTTGGTTCACCGTACCCAAATACAGTTGATTGATATAATGTAAACCCTTCCATTCAGTTAGGATCCATAAAAGCCAAAGCTATATTGTACTCACCAACCATTGCACATGGATGAATAAGACTGCTGACATGTATGAAGAAAAGAGCACTATATCATCATTACTTTTAATATAGGAAAAGGAAGCTTGTTGATTTTAGGAAAAGATATTTAAAATTTAACAATTGCTTCTGACCAACAATTGTTTCCTTATGAAATGGAACAAAATGTGCATTATCTTAAAATGTCTGTTTTCATTATTCTTGCCAAATTTGTCTCAATATGTGTGTAGTTTCTAAAAATATAAAAAGATGAAATTTAGATACAATAGGTGGATGATAGATTGATGACATCAGCTCACTCTATCCATTAGGGTTAGGTTACCAACAGTCTATAAATACATTCACCTCTTTTTGACTGCTGAGGTTTCAGCTGCTTTAAACTCTGTATTGGATTCACCCAAGGTCAGCTCAATATCAGTAGATATACTTCCTGAGGGATTTAGCAAAAGACAGGTATACTTCCCACAATCCTCTATTACAACATTTCTTATCTCTAAAATGGAATCCTCACCATGTGTAACCTGAAAATTTATTATTACTTTAGTATTATGATACATTTAGGACTAACAATAAATGGAGAAATAAAGGACTGTGTTTTCAGTGTTTTCTGACTTCTGTTCTTCTTCTAAGCTGTGAAAACACATACATTACATTTGGATTTAAGTACATGTTTGAAGAGATATCATGTAATGACAAGATTTAAGCCTCCAAACCACAAGAATGTACATTTTTTGTGATTGATGCTTTTCAGCTATTTATGTGATGAAGTTTGTAGTTTTGTCTTTGTTATATTTCTCTAAAATTAATATGTGAAAATCCTTAGTTAGGAGAAGGTTGAGTGCTCACTAACATGTTTAACCCAGCAACATTCTTTATGTTCCTGACCCAAGTCAGGAGCCTGTTATTCAGTGGTTGTCATTGGTTCCTGTCTTTAATATTTGTTTATCGGCTATAATTTTATTATAAGTCAGGCTATTGGTATTCTCATTTCATATTGTCATGTAATATCTTTTAATGTGTTACATGTCACACCTGCTATCTAATTTTGAGTAGATATTAATAACAAAATATGTAATGAGCGTCTTCTGGACTCATTATATGGTTTATTAATATTATATTACATTATATACCTTATATTTATCACTATTTTCTATAATAATGCCCTGCTTTAACCATTGTACACTTGGTCTAGGATTCCCTTCAGGTCGACATAAAAATATTGCACTCTTTTCTTTTTCAACCAAAACTGAGTGTGGCTTCAAAACAAAGTCTGGAGGTGTGCCCCTGTCACCATCAACAGGGTCATCTAGTGGAATTTTCCTGGCAATTCCATGGAACACTTGTGACAATGCAACTTTACTTCCATCACTGGTTTCCATATCAGAAAGATTTTCTAAAATAATAATGTTTTGCTGTTGGAACTAAAAGTTAAACAGTGCATGGTATTAGCAATGGAAGGCAATATTTTGACTTGGAGAAATCTTCCTTTGTCCTATAATTATGGACAAAGGAAGATAACTCCAATTTTAATAATACCTTGAATGGCTATATTTTGGATTCGCTTATTTAATTTCCAATAAAATAGTTTCTTGACAAGTGTGGTAATACACAAACACATCATTTGTTACTTGAATATCTGAGTATTATTTCATTGATAAATTACTTTTAATATAAATGGATAAAATCAAAAAGAATTTCACCTCAATGTACGATGTTCTTATTCTTACAGAAGAAGAGATGAGGTCTGGAAAATATAGCTATTTTTGCCGCTTTTAGATACTTGAAGACATTGAGGATCAATTGTTCCAAATTTAAATCAAACAAAAATTTCAAAGAAATAACTTTCTTTTGATAGTCTGACAATTTTAAATCAAAATAAAAAAAATCCAGAACTGCTTGATTGAACCTTACCACTGACACTTAACCGACAGAAAGTATCAATCTCTCCATATTCATTGTATGCCTCACATACAAACTCTCCAGCATCCTCAGGTTTACAGCGTGGAATAACAAGCTGGTGTATGTTGTCACTACATGTTGTTCTATAGACACTGTGGTCCTCATTCACTTCTGAATTATTGTGTACCCATACAATCTCTACAGGAGGGCTGCCTATAAAATATAAACTAGTAATAGAGTACCATACAATCTCTACAGGAGGGCTGCCTATAAAATATCAACTAGTAATAGAGTACCATACAATCTCTACAGGAGGGCTCCCTATAAAATATAAACTAGTAATAGAGTACCATACAATCTCTACAGGAGGGCTCCCTATAAAATATAAACTAGTAATAGAATACCATACAATCTCTACCTGAGGGTTGCCTATAAAATATAAACTAGTAATAGAGTACCATACAATCTCTACCTGAGGGTTGCCTATAAAATATGAACTAGTAATAGAGTACCATACAATCTCTACAGGAGGGCTCCCTATAAAATATGAACTAGTAATAGAGTACCATACTATCTCTACAGGAGGGCTCCCTATAAAATATGAAATAGTAATAGAGTACCATTCAATCTCTACTTGAGGGTTGCCTATAAAACATGGGCTAGAAACTAAGTACCATTCTATCTACAGGAGGCTACCTTGTGCAGTAAAATTGGTATTCTAATACAACCATTTTCTATCAATGGTTCTTATTAGCGGATTGGATGACAACAAGAGTAAAATCCTCTATCTAGCTGTCTGTAGCTAAGGGAAGCCAACATTTTGAATTCTTGAATCTATTGACATGTTATTTTTTAAATAATGAATAAAAAAAACTCACATTTTTCACATACAAATGTTAGGTTTATCTTATTTTATTACAGGTATACAAAAAGCCCCAAAACGCCCTGTATTTACATTTGACGCCGTAAGCATACATATGATGTCACCTTGTTTAGTTGCCAAAGACGATAACATCATTTTGCAGAATTTTCATTTTATGAAATTTTACACCAAAAAAATGAATGAAATGGACTGATTTGTTTATTTTGCATAAGAATAGATAACCGTATTGTATTTGAAGCTTGGCCTATGTATAACTTGGTTTTCCTGTCGCAGATATCTGTTTACAAGCTTTGCGTACTTAATTTGGGACAGTGTTTTATGTAGACCAAGCTTGAAATACAATACTGTTATCTCTTAATTGTTAATGTTATTGACCATGTCTGTTTACCTTAATTGTTAATGTTATTGACCATGTCTGTTTACCTTAATTGTTAATGTTATTGACCATGTCTGTTTACCTTAATTGTTAATGTTATTGACCGTGTCTGTTTACCTTAATTGTTAATGTTATTGACCATGTCTGTTTACCTTAATTGTTAATGTTATTGACTGTGTCTGTTTATCTTAATTGTTAATGTTATTGACCGTGTCTGTTTACCTTAATTGTTAATGTTATTGACCGTGTCTGTTTACCTTAATTGTTAATGTTATTGACCGTGTCTGTTTACCTTAATTGTTAATGTTATTGACAATGTGTGTTTACCTTAATTGTTAATGTTATTGACCATGTCTGTTTACCTTAATTGTTAATGTTATTGACCGTGTCTGTTTACCTTAATTGTTAATGTTATTGACCATGTCTGTTTACCTTAATTGAGTTTAACATTATTGTGATTGATTGAGTGTGGGTGTTTAATGCCACTTTCAGCTCTATTGGCTATTTCACGGTGGCCAGTGTTTATTTGTTGAGGAAGCTGGAGATAACCACTGACCTTTGGCAGGAAAATTCCTAGTCAATTAAGATTGGGGTCAAATGTACCTTTCACATGTGGTGTTTGAACTCACAACCTCAGTTTTGACAGGCTAGTGATACAGTAGATGAATTACTTTTACCATTCTACCACCAAGGTCCTGATTGACATTCAGAAGCTGATTGCTTTTCTAAGAATTTAGAATAAGATAAACATTCTTACCTTTGACCTCAACCAAAAGTTCAACTGGTTCACCAGTTTTCACCCTGATATCCTGCAGCTCCTGTACAAAGATAGGTGGTTCCCTGCTGGTTTCTCTTGAAGGTAATGCTGGTTGTTTTTCTACAGTAGATCTTGGTGTGGAGCGTACAGATACATCATGTGACTTTTTGAGTGATGATAATTTAGTAGCAGATTCAGGTTTTAATGTTGACCTCTCATTTACTGGAGATAATGGCTGTGTATAGGACGGTTGCACAACCTCTGTACCATCATCTAAACAAACCAAATAAAATCTTTAATTAAAATCAAAATCCTATTCATAAAATAACTTCTAAGAATAGGAAATTGCAAGCATGTTCTATATCAATGGCAGTAAGAGAACTTGAAACATCATACTCACTGGCAAATACGGAACACTTTTAATGTTATTTAAGTTTCATATGAGGCCTCTCCCTTTCTAACAGATAAAAATTCCATGAATCTTATCAATGCTCAAAAGCATAACAACAATTGTGATAATAATCCTGAAAGTTTGATAATATCAAACAAGAATAACTTACTTTATAAACAGTAATTCATAAAATTGTACTATAAGACCAGGAACCCTGGTTTTACATTGGTTGGTCTATCTTATAACCCTACTTACAGTGTATATCAATGTATTAGCTCCATATCAAGTAGTATTTTAAGCATAACCACTTAAATTTTCTTTACCAACCAACAAGAGGAAGGAAAAGAACAATTTGTTTCATTTCCGTTACATGTAACATTTACACAATATCTATTAATAAACAAAAATAGATTCCTACAATTTGTTTCCTTTTACACATTTAGCCTTAAATTTAATAATCTATTAATTTGAAGAACCTTACTGAGCAAGCTCATAATACCTACCCTATGTCCTAATCTTATTTCTAGCGAGCAACAGCTTTATATTGGTATAATGACAACAATGTCCTCCTTGAAAGAGGATAATTAGGAAAATATGGATTCAGTCCATTCATTCTTTTCTATTTCATTACAATGTAAGATAGAGATCTTTCTGTCATTGTATGGCATTATCACTATTGTACACAGATTTCACTCTTAGTATTATTATTAACTGAATCTTAGTTGACCTAGGACCTATCAAGATAAAAATTGATAGGGATGTCCCTCTCTTTAAATGGTATAAAAGACCTCGACATAAACTAGTAAGGACACTCCTCTCACTATATATGACCACATATGCTAGACTGGTTCCAATCCAATGCAAGTTTCTGGGGTTATTATTATTAAACCCCTCTCTGAATTAAGCCTCCCCTTTCAAATCTACCCTTTTGGTTTCTTTTTTATTTTTTGTACTTTTTCATTACTTCTACTTCTACTTTTAAGTGACTGCCTTCAACACGTTTATTTCACTTGTACTACACATGACTTAGTGGAAATGTATTTACAGTAAAATTCAATAATCTAAGAATTTTAACCAAATTTATTCTAACATTTTTACATAGCACATTTTTCTTTTGTTTTTTATATTAAGATAAAACTATTTACACATGATAAATTTACTAATAGTTCTCCCCCTTTTCAGCTTATGCTGTCTAACTAATTTTTTCTAAAATTTAAAAATATTTCTTATGATTTGTATTATAGAAAGATTCCAGGTATAACTTCAACAAAAGTTGAAACACAAAAATGTCCCACTGCTATATCTTAATTATTAAATTTAAATGGCAATGAAACCCTTCGTAATAAGGCTTTGAAATGTTCTTGTTCTCTATAGTGTGTTACTCTCTGATTAACCCTTTCCTCCATTATAACGCCTTTTGACGCCACCCCCCTTTCCTCCATAATGACGCTTTTTGATGCCACCCCCGTTTACTCCATAATGACGCCTTTTGGCACCTCTGTGTAGTACATCAGTTGAAGCACTTTGCCTACGAAAAGTCTGTATCAGACTTAATAAAATTTGTATCCAATATAAAAAGGATATTCATGGGAATATCTGATTTGAATTTCACCATGTCACCAAAATTGTGTACCCCAATCAATGTAAGCTTTATTGGTGGAACAAGAGAAGTCCAAGTGATTATTTCTGCACCACAGCCCCCCCCCCCCCCCCCCCCCCCTTAGATTATATTCTACATGATGTGATGATACTGAACTGCAGATTTATCATTATTGGTGGAACAAGAGAAGTCCAAGTGATATTATTTCTGCACCACAGTCCCCGCCCCCTTAGATTATATTCTACATGAGATGATGATACTGTACTGTAGATTTATCATTATTGGTGGAACAAGAGAAGTCCAAGTGATATTATTTCTGCACCACAGTCCCCCCCCCCTTAGATTATATTCTACATGAGATGATGATACTGTACTGTAGATTTATCATTATTGGTGGAACAAGAGAAGTCCAAGTGATATTATTTCTGCACCACAGTCCCCCCCCCTTAGATTATATTCTACATGAGATGATGATACTGTACTGTAGATTTATCATTATTGGTGGAACAAGAGAAGTCCAAGTGATATTATTTCTGCACCACAGTCCCCCCCCCCCCCTTAGATTATATTTTACATGAGATGATGATACTGTACTGTAGATTTATCATTATTGGTGGAACAAGAGAAGTCCAAGTGATATTATTTCTGCACCACAGTCCCCCCCCCCCCCCTTAGATTATATTCTACATGATGTGATGATACTGTACTGTAGATTTATCATTATTGGTGGAACAAGAGAAGTCCAAGTGATATTATTTCTGCACCACAGTCGCCCCCCCCCCCCTTAGATTATATTCTACATGATGTGATGATACTGTACTGTAGATTTATCATTATTGGTGGAACAAGAGAAGTCCAAGTGATATTATTTCTGCACCACAGTCCCCCCCCCCCCCCTTAGATTATATTCTACATGATGTGATGATACTGTACTGTAGATTCATCATTATTGGTGGAACAAGAGAAGTCCAAGTGATATTATTTCTGCACCACAGTCCCCCCCCCCTTAGATTATATTCTACATGATGTGATGATACTGTACTGTAGATTTATCATTATTGGTGGAACAAGAGAAGTCCAAGTGATATTATTTCTGCACCACAGTCCCCCCCCCCCCTTAGATTATATTCTACATGATGTGATGATACTGTACTGTAGATTCATCATTATTGGTGGAACAAGAGAAGTCCAAGTGATATTATTTCTGCACCACAGTCCCCCCCCCCTTAGATTATATTCTACATGATGTGATGATACTGTACTGTAGATTTATCATTATTGGTGGAACAAGAGAAGTCCAAGTGATATTATTTCTGCACCACAGTCCCCCCCTTAGATTATATTCTACATGATGTGATGATACTGTACTGTAGATTTATCATTATTGGTGGAACAAGAGAAGTCCAAGATATTATTTCTGTACCACAGTCCCCCCCCCCCCCTTAGATTATATTCTACACGATGTGATGATACTGTACTGTAGATTTATCATTATTGGTGGGATAACAATTTTATAGATTTCATGAGTATTAATAAACCAGGAATTTAAATGTTCAACAAAGTAAAAATTTTCTATAGGTTTGTATGCAGACTTTTTCAAAACCATGAAATCCAATATCCAGGGAAATACAAGTTTTCTTAAATCAACGAAAAATAATGGTACCCACCAAAATAAACTAGATATCATTGAGATGGGAGCCATCTCTGTGGGCCCCGCTGTGAATAATGTGTGGTAAAAAATTTGTATCTTTATCATTGGACATGGGGTTGTCAATTGAAACCAAAGTTTTTGACCTTGACCTTTGACCTAAGAAGTTGTACATAAATTATGACACACCCTCTGGTGTTGGTTTATATACATATCAAGTATAAACTTTGAAACCATAACGGTTCTCAAGATATAGAGCGGACACGATCTTTACCATAGGACATGGGGTTGTCAACTAAAACCAAAGTTTTTGACCTTGACCTTTGATCTAAGAAGTTGTACATACATTATGACACACCCTCTGGTGTTGGTTTATATACATATCAAGTATAAACTTTGAAATCATAACGGTTCTCAAGATATAGAGTGGACACGATCTTTACCATTGGACATGGGGTTGTCAACTAAAACCAAAGTTTTTGACCTTGACCTTTGATCTAGGAAGTTGTACATATATTATGACACACCCTCTGGTGTTGGTTTATATACATATCAAGTATAAACTTTGAAATCATAACGGTTCTCAAGATATAGAGCGAACACAATCTTTACCATAGGACATGGGGTTGTCAACTAAAACCAAAGTTTTTGACCTTGAACTTTGACCTAGGAAGTTGTACATACATTATGACACACCCTCTGATGTTGGTTAATATACATGTCAAGTATAAACTTTGAAATCATAACGGTTCTCTAGATATAGAGAGCGGACACAATTTGTTACGGACGGACGGACGGACTGACTGACAGTCGGACAGACAGACGGACGGACAGACTGATCACTATAGGGCGTCCGCCATTTGACGGGGCCCTAATTAATCCACAATATCGCAGAAAAGCGAAAATAATTTTATTCCTCTACTGTTTTCTTACCTGTTTTTCTGATTACTTCCCTTTGGACTGTAACCTTAGCTTTAATCTGATCAATACCAGCTTCATTCTCTGCTATACATTTATACGAGTCTGAATCTGACAGGTCCACATTCTCCATAATTAAACGTACTGTTGATCCATCAAACTCTGTCCTTAACACTCTTGAAGTTTTAATTTCCTGCTGGTTTTTGTACCATTTTATAGAAGGTCTTGGATATCCTATAAATATAAATAGCCTTCATCTCAATATCATTGAAACCATAGTTGTATACAATTATTACAATTCTGATTCTTTCAAAGTCTTTTCAACACACAAAAAGTTACTGGAAAAGTTTTTAATCTAACTGCATTTTTTGTAATATCTCATAAAATTTGTAAAGCCCAATTAAATTTTTTTCATTAATATTCTAATATTACCGGTACAATTAAATATTTAGGGACATACAATACAGTTGTGCTCCCACGGTGATGCTTTTAAGAAAATTTCTTCCAAGCTTATTATTTTCTTGATTAATTATAATTTGTTATAAAACAAACATTCTGAGAGTATTGCATGGCAATACATAGTCCCCTACCGGGTAAAAATAACAAACAGCTAATTTGTTTTATAACTTGTCATGGTGTAAACAAAAAGAAAATATCAAGTCAATATCTTCAAGCATGACTAAAAACAGTGTGGAAAACTGATTAAATGAGTGAATTTTTCAAGTCCAAGGACCATAACTCTGCACAAAATTATCAGAATGAAACAAAATTTCGAACTTGATCTGTATAACTTGTCATGATAAAACTATATACCAATTATCAATCAATATCTTCAAGCATGATGAAAAAAGGTGTGGAAAACACTTTAACATTAGATATGATTAATAGTTCTCTAAAATTAGATATGATGTAATACAGTGTATATCTATTTTCAAATTATAATCAAATATAATAAATAGTTCCAAATATCTTTTCTTTTATTTGTAACAAATTAATATAGATTTGTAACTTATCTATAAAATGTCAACAATTTTTATCTACACAATGTAATGTAATATATACATAGTAAAAATAGATTATTATCTAATTAAAGGATTTCACTTCATAATTTTTTTTATATATATATAGCATTCAGAAAATTAGTTTATACAAAATAACAAACAAACCTGCCAAAAAATTCTTCAAATAATTAACCAAAGAATGTCTTTTAAAAAATGAGTTATCTCCCTTTGTACAGAAATATCGTTTAACATAGTACTCTAACATTAGATATGGTCCAGAGTTATGGTCCATAACTCTGGACTAAATTTTCAGACCGGAACAAAATTCGAACTTGATCTTTAACTTGTCATGGCAAAACTATATACCAAATATCAAATCAATATCTTCAAGAACAAAGAAAAAAAGTGTGGAAAGCTGATTTGCCGGACTGACGGATGGACAGACTGACGGACAGACGGACAGAGTGCAAACCTAAAGTCCCCTTCGACTTCGTCGGTAGGAGACTAATAAGACCTTCATGTACTTTTAGTGATAAATGAGGTCCAAATTTGAGATTTTTACTTAAATTTCTGCTTTGGACATTTCTATCTTTTTAGGCAGAAATAGCAAACTTTGTTGTTTCAAAATATAATCATAAGCATTTCTTTACGGCTAAAATACTCCTAAGTCTAACTTTTTCAACTTGGTTAAGGAGAGACAAAAAAAAAATCATCATTTTTTCATAAAAAATTGGTACAAATAATCTTTCTTCATAATTAAGCCAAATATTATTTAAAAAAAAACAGGGTTCTGTTTACTGGTTTTTAAGATGATGATTAAAATCAGAGGAAATTTATACGCTATCAATGTTATTACATTATTTTTAAGAGAGCTACAAAAACATAACTACTCTATTCTGAAAGTAAATGACCTGCCACAAGTGATTGAAATTTAGGTAAGCCTGTAAACCCAGGGCCTGCAGTTTTCTATATGGTCTTAGTCTGGTAAACAGGTACAAATTATTACAGATTAGGCTTGATTGAATTGAAAATCTCAGAAGTTGCTAGTAAAACACAAAAATAGAAAACCTGTCATATAGTATACCTGTAACTTTTGCTTCTAACAACAGATTGTCCCCAACACAAAGGATCTGATCTGATAAAGGATTCACAAACTTTGGAGGAATGCTTCTTGTTCCTGGAGCTGAAAATAAAAATTTTGGAATTGTAAATGGGTAGCTTAGAACAAAGAATGAACAATACACACATAAAAACGCATACATTAATTTTTGGCTGAAAATATATTATGCTATATGTCTCATAAACCCTTTGCCATATTCATATAATGTTTAAACTTTGAAAGCATCATAAAATATTCAAACTTTTGAAAATCTATCATAAAAAATATCATCATAGCTATCAATCCAACCTTTAATAGAATTATTATATTTTTACTATAAGTTTCTCCCATCATATGATACTAAATAACAATAATCCCAAAATTCTTGTGATATTTTTATTTAATAATTCAAACCTTCAACAGTCTAATAATTCAAACTTTCAACTACTAGTCAGTAAAAAATTTAAAATTTTTAAAAGTTTGAATTTTCTCAAATAAAAGAAAAGAATATTACCTCCCAAGACTTGACATATGTAACATGGCTTAGAATCCATCTTCTTTGAGATGTTATTCAATAGCAGAAATATTGATTAGAAGATAAATTTATTGCAATCAGGGTAATGAATTACTAATTTTGTCATGAAAGGTATGTAATACATTTTATTATGTCACTTGGGAAATGTCTTAATTGTAAAAAGACATGTATGATGGCATTGTTTGAAATGTGGGATGAATGAAATAACCGGAACTTCTTGAACTACTAGTTTTTGAACCTGACACCATTTGCAAATTTAAATCAACCTCCATTCGGTATAAAAAAAATATCATTTTAAAATATGAAGCTTGTCTCAGACACTTCTGTTTTCTACTTATCTTTACTTATTTTCTTAATCAAAAATATTTGAGGGTAGACTTATGCCTTTAAATAACCCCATACCATGGAATGACAAATAAACAAGGTTACCACAAAACACTTATATTCCCTCACATAATCAAGGACAAGACAATCGTGAAATAAATGGAGAATGTGTCTATGGGCCACAGATGCCCCCACTTGTAAATATGCATGAGTCAACTTCCACATACAGATGCAGGATTCATGTAGTTAATACTGTTTTGTGATTATAAGCATTGTGTATAAGTTTATGAAACATTTGGTTGAGGCAAACTAGTTAGAGAACGGAAACAACAGATTTAGCAATTTTTATGTTTATAAAGGGGCATAACTCATGAACGGTAGAAGTAACGCCTCCCAATTTTGAACTTGATCTGTGTTTTGTGGTAATATGCATTGTGTATAAGTTTCACAATATTTGGTTGAGGCAAACTAAAGTTAGAGAACGGAAAAGACAGATTTAGCAATTTTTATGTTTATAACTGGGCATAACTCATGAACAGTAAAACTGACGCCACCCAATTTCGAATTTGATCTGTGTTTTGTGGTAATAAGCATTGTGTATAAGTTTCATACATTTGGTTGAGGCAAACTAAAGTTAGAGAACGGAAACAAGTTTTAGCAATTTTTATGTTTATAAAGGGGCATAACTCATGAACGGTAGAAGTGACGCCACCCAATTTTGATCTTGATCTTTGTTTTGTGGTAATATGCATTGTGTATAAGTTTCATAATATTTGGTTAAGGCAAACTAAAGTTAGAGAACGGAAACCAATTTTTGTGGAAGTTTGGGACGGACGGACAGACGAGACGGACATTGGTAACACTTTATATCCCGATGCCTAGCGGCAGGGGCATAAAAACTTGATGAACCAAAATACCTTTCCACCAATGCTACCACAAACCTCATGAACCAACCAATACTACCACAAATCTCCTGAACCAAAATACCTTTCAACCAATGCTACCACGAACATCATGAAACAAAATACCTTTCATCTAATGCTGCCACAAACCTCATGAACCAAAATACCTTTCCAACAATGCTATTACAAACCTCATGAACCAAAATACTTTTCCATCGATGCTATAACCAAATAGGTCCAATATTTTTCAGACATTAAAATAACTTTCCTTACTTTTATTAGAAATACAGCATTGTTAGTTGGCTGGTTGGTTGGTTGGTATGTTCATATCAAATCTAATTTTATTACTACATTGCCTCAAAATGATTGCATATAGAAATAAGAAAATGTTTATTTTGGCCTCACATAGTCTTGTAGCTTAATTCTGACCTAAATTTCTTCCAAATTTTTAAGTGGAAAACACCCAAATAGTCTTGAAAGTTAAGAAATGTCCTCAGTCACTTTCACCTGCCAAAAAGACCAGTCCTATAATTTATCCAAACAAAGTTGTGACCATATGACTTCATAGTCCATTCTTAGTAGTAAAACCATCTTTTATTGATGCCTTATGTTTAAAACATAGAATAAATGTCAAACCAATAAATATACAATATGCTTACAGGTAATTATGTAATACAGTTTAATTGTTAATTTAATCATGAAATGGACAGGATTTCCACAAAGAATGGGACCATAACAAAAGATATATTCCAGAAGACAGTTATTACTCTGTACAATAAAATGTATTAGTGACATTACTATTGATTTCTTTTACCTCATGCAGACAAGAAACTCTTTAATCTGCATTTAAGTGCAGTATGATGTTTGGTCATCAAGCAGAAGTGGTTTAATGATATAAGAATGGTTAGGACAATATGTCTGAAAACATAATTCTGGACTTATATTTTTGTACAATTCCTATCCTTCAACTGTTTTAAGTCTTTTCAATTTTAAAAATTCAAGGAAAACTGTCAACACATGCATTTTGTATGATGAAAAATCCTTCCAACATCTCTTCACAAGGAAAATTTAACCAACATGTTTATACTGTCTTATTAAGTGGACATAAAGATTTGATGCCTATTCTCTTGGCCACCCTCTTTATAGAACCTAGTTTTTGTGCAAATTCAGAAATTTTGGCTACGATTTTTTTTGTCATTTCAAATTGAAATCCAATAAGTTTTGCACTAATCTGAACTCACATTTAAATTCTCATCACATTATTGGAAAGGAAATACGTGTATGGGAAATTTCTTTTAATTACATTCATGAAAGTTTTATTGATGTTCTTTTATAAAAAAAAATATAATAATAAATATGTTCAAACATTTCAGCATTAAGAGTTCCTGATTAATTTAAAAATTTGTTCTTGACTTGAATATGTAAGAAATATTTTCACTAGATTTTTAAGCTTACAGATAACAATCATTCAGTACTAAATAGTCAGAAGAGTAAACTAGTTTTATTACAGAATGCTCCATAAAGAATACATGTATATCCATATTGAAAAGAATACTATTTGAAAAATAGAAAATGCTCACTTCTCTTTTTTTCAAATTTCTTTAAGGTAACTACAGCTAATTTTTCACTTTTACCCTAAAAGTTTGAGGACAATATTGCCAGAGAGGTCTGGAGGTCATGTTGTAAGATAGTGAATTTAATATGACTTTTTTCTATTAGAATTGGAAATACAGCTAATTTATCCAAACTGACTTTTTCCTTAGCTTACTATAAAAGTAAATCGCCCAAACAAAAATTTTCTGACTCAACTAACAACAGACCTCAGGTAACAAAGTATGTGGAGATAAAAGGTAAGGAAAATCACAAAATACTCAACAATAATTTGCAAATTCAACTGCAGTGAAAGGAGCATGTTATATCATAAAACTTAAAAACCTAGTAGGTCTTAAATGGCATCCTATTATTCAATACAAAAACAAATTAATCAAAAGTTTTTAACAATGCTGGTTATAGGCAACAAATCTGTCTGTAACTTTTGTCCTCTCTATCTCAGATTAAAACCAAATTTACAATACATTTTACATCATTTCGAGTACCATATCTGATAACCTTGAAAAGGTCAATTCTTTATAATCGCTTTGAAGCATAATAAAATTTATATAAATCTATTATATTAATCATTTACTGTCACTGAATATCACAATTTCTGTATTGAGTTACATCAAAAATAGGATTTAAATAACAAATACATTTTCTGCACTGTTATACGGCCCATTAAATTCACTACTGGAGATGGGAAAATAACCTTTCTTTATTGTGTTGTACTTTTCTATATTTCATTCAAGAGTTTATAAACACATTTTCCCCCTTGAAATAATTCTTAGACCTAAAAAATTAAAGAATACAGAAATGAAGCCCCCCATCCAGACCCTCAACCATGCAATGAATTTTCAAACACCAGATCAATATTCTATTAATATATTATAAGAAGACCTATTCAGCTTTAATGCTTCTATCTTTCAGCAAAAATTAAATTACAAATATCAATCTTTCTTTTTTGACCTTTTAGGCTTTATTCTCCAAAATACTTTAGCTAAAAGAACCATCAATCTCTTGGTTTTACCATTAAGTTAAATGATAGATCATTTAACTGATGTTTTGTGTTTAATTTTTGAGTATAGGAACTGTCGTACTGTTTCTGCTACTTCTCCTCTAACCAATAAGACCTAACATATATTGATGTTGCTCATTGTTGAAGGCTGTGTAGTGACCTATAGTTGTTAAATCATCATTCTTTAGTCTCAATGCCCTATTAGTATCTTCTCTTTTTTTTAGACATTGAGACCAAGAAATTCTAGGTATACCAAAGAACAGTTCTATAACCATGTTAGCTATTATTCATCCTGACAGTTACCAGAGGTTAATCTGAACATCGCTAAATAATAAGGACTACAAACCCATATGTTATCACCACTTTTTACAATTATTTACTGTGGATTCCTTATTATTCATTACATACCAATTTTCATGGATTAGGTCTGTGTAGGTAGTCCACAAATTCAAAAATTCAACAAAAAACAAAGTTTCTACAGGATTCTATGCAGACTTGGGCTAAACCACAAAATCAAATACCCATGAAAATACAATTTTCCTTAATCCATGAAAATAAATGAATCCAAAACTAACATATTAAAGAGAAGAAAAAAGAATTCTATCTTAATTTGTAAATATATTTGGCAACCATTTTTCCATTTTCTAATCCAGCTTGTGGGTATGGTAAGAAGAATTCTTCTTTTTTTTTTTGTTAAGTTTCCCCTTCATGT